AAACTTATGGGATTACAACTAAAACAGTTCTGAGGGGAAAATTTATATCTCTAAACACTTCTATATCAACAGAGAAATCAATGAATTGAGATAACAATAAAAATGAATAATAGCAAGTAAAAAAATCTTCAACTAAACAAAGTAGAAATTATAAATATTAAAGATTAATAAAATTGAAAGGAAAAAGATAATTGAATTGATAAATAAAATTAGAAGCTATTTTTTAAAAAAAACTAATAAAGTAGAAAAAATTAGCTAACCTGATTAAAAAAGAAAGAGAAAAAACAAATTATGTCAAAAATTAAAAAAAAACAGCAACTGAAGTAAGGAAATTATCAGAAACTATCCAGTTTTATGCTAATAAAACTGATAATGTAGAGGAAATTAGATGAAAACTTATAAAAAATACAAAATACCTGGATTAACAAAAGAAGTGCTTTTTCTATGAAACTAGAGGGGAAAAAACCCAAAATTTAATATCACAGAAATGAATGGATTAACAGCATGGATTTTTTTTATTATGATTTAACTAAAGTCTAGCTGTAAATTGGCTTGCCTGGCACAACTCACCAGGATCCTGGCCCTGGTTCCTTATCTTTACCTCATATGTGCTTTTCCTTTACAAGATGAGATGCAGAATGAGATGGAAACAGCCAGTACCTTTTGTGTACTTACTAGTCTGTAGAGCACAGTTCCCCAGCTAGTGTCATTCGATGATGAAGTTGGTGTGTATCTTCTTCAGTCCTTGGGTTTTCTTGATGCTCCCTTGGTGAATGTAGGAGGGATGCAGTAATAGTGGTTTGTGTGTGCATCATATACTTAGAGGTGATGTTTGGGTGGTGAATTTCCACCCTCTGTATTTGGATACATTCACAGATATGCTCTGGACTGGAAAAGGTTGGGAAACACTGAGAGTGCTAAGAGGTAGTTAAATAAATTATTAAATAAACTACTATGCTTAGTGACTCTTTCAGGTTTTTGAGACGCTCCATATGCCAGAGAAGGGGTTTAAGTTGCTCTACAGTGACATAAATGGATGGGTTTCCTCAGTGTAGGTGTTTGGTAGCCCCTGAGGCATCTCTTTCCAGCCTGTGATTTGGCTCTAGTATGTCTATGTTAAGGCACTTTGTTCCCAGAAATACTACACCTCTTTATTGTGTAACTTCACTGTGGATACAAAACAGAATGGTTAAGGATGGAATTAGGTGGCATTGTGTGGAGAACAGAAAACTGAGAAGGAATCAGTTGACATGACTTCTGGCTTTGCTGCCTCATTATGATGTGACCAGAACCAGGCTCCTCCCTGTTGCTTTGGAAGAATGCAGGACAGTGTGTCTTAGGAAAGCATTCTGATCCGTTAGAGGAATGGTGCTATATAAACTATAAATTCAAGGGAATAGCATTAATAATAGCAACATTAATATTTTTTGTCCAGGGCTGAATTATGTGTTAATTGCTTTCCTAGCCTTTGGTTTTGACTTTTTTATTCTCCAGTAGTATTTGCTTTGCAGGACAAGTAGGGGGGCAATGAGGAGATGAAGCTTAAACCATTGGTGGTTTTTTCCCTTGTTATCTTCTCCTATAAGGGGATGATATTTGGGTAGTAGTGAAAAGTTGAATTATTTATCAAGCAGATTTTTGGGGTAAAGTGACCAAACTGAACCAGAATGAAAAAGCACCGACATCTTTTAGGGGCCTGTACTTAATCTGACTCTCAGTTTTTTTCACTTATATGTGTGTATCCTCCAAGGCTCTTTATTCAGCTCTTCTCCTTGGCAATCTGTTTTTGTTTTTTTGTTTAGGCAATTGGGGTTAAGTGACTTGCCCGGGGTCACACAGCTAGTAAGTGTCAAGTGTTTGGTCTGAGGCCGGATTTGAACTCAGGTCCTCTTGACTTCAGGGCCAGTGCTCTATCCACTGCACCCCCTAGCTGCCCCTTTCCTTGGCAGTCTTATCTGCTTCAGTAGGTTCAGTTGTCATGCCTTTGCTAATGACTCCCAAATTCTTATGTCCTAGCCCAGTGTTATTCCCAGATTCCAGCCTCATGTCTCTCATTGTCTTTTGGACAGCTCTACTTGATGTTCTGCTAGAAGCTCAAACTTAACATATCCCAAACTGAACTCATCCTTCTTTAGACACTCTTTTTATTAGAATTGACTCTTCTCAATTACCCATTTCTGTGGAGGGTAGCATCCACTTCCCACTGAACCTAGCTTAAAACCTCCAAGTGCCATTTGACCTTTTCTTTCCCTTCTCTTCATCTAGGTAGCTGTAAGGTCCTGGTGATTCTACCTCCGTGTTATTGCCCACCTTGATTCTCTTTTTTCTACTCTTTCTGGTATCCCAGCACAGGCTTTCATCACCTGGATCCTAGATTTAGAGTTGGAATAGGAGGGTTTGAAAGGCCATTTAGTCCACCTTACCTTGTTTTACAAATGAGGAAAATGAGGCTCAGAGAGGTTAAGTGACTTGTTTAAGGTCAAACATGTAAGAACTTGGGTTTGAGCCTGGGTCTTTTAATTCTAAAAAAGTTCTTTTCCCACCGTATCATGGTTCCTCTTGGCTAGACTACTATAATAGTCTACTAACTGGTCTCCCTGCCATGAGTCTTTCCTTTTTTCAATCCATCCTTCACACAGCTACTAAAATAATTGTCACGATGCACAAATGTGGCCACTTCATTTCTCTTTAATGACTTCCTCATTGCTCATAGGATGAAATGCAAATTGCTTAGGTCGGCATTAAAAGCCATATACAGTAGGGGACCACCCTATCTTTCCAACCTTACTTTACATTCTATATACTTAGTTCCAACTAAACTAGTTATTCCCCAGTCTTATCCTACGTTTTCTGTCCTGTGTGCATTCACATCATTATCCTCTATGGCTATAATGTAATCTTTGTAATCTTTACTTATCAAAATCCTTGTTTTTCCTAGACCCAGCTTAGGTGCTACGTTTTTCATGAAATCCTCCCTAATCCCCTACAAGTAAGTGCTTTCTCCCTTCTCAAAGTTTTCCTAAAGCACTTTGTCTTGATACCTCCTTTTCCCCTATCACTTTTTTAAAAATAAGTTTTTATTGATATTCTTTGTTTCTTACATCACCATAGTATTCTATGTATCCCTCCCCCTGCACCTCGCAGAGAGCCATCCCATGTGACAAATAGTATTTTTTGGAGAGGGAAAAAAAAGGCAGCACAGCTGATTGATACATTGAAAAAGTCTGAATGCCAGTGCAGTGTGTAATACTCAATCCCTTTCTTCCTTGTATTTATATTTATTTGTTCAGGTCAGAACTGTGGTGTTGTTCATCTTTGTATCCCTGTTGTGCAGTTTGTATAGGTACTTAATGTTGTATAGGTACTTAATGTTTGTTGAATTTAATTAGATTGACATTATTCCTCAGTTGGAGACCTAGCCTTTGGACCTTTGGGTAAGAGTAGGTTGAGCTCAGTAGTGACTCCTCTCCTTTCTTTCCTGTTTGGTTCAGTCAGAATAACACCAGTGGAATAGCCTCCTGTGCTGGGGGATGTGGCATCATTTTTACTGGATCATTGTTATTGGGAGAGATAGAAAGGACTCGAATGGATACAGGCTCTCTGCTGAGTATAAGGCTTCTAAATCCTGGAGGCCCTTTCAGAGCCCATGAGGCTGGCAGGACACTAACCCGTCTCCTCCTGGCATATAGAGTGTGGTCAGACACTATCCCATTGTATTTCATTTTCCGATGCAATTCCTGTAGTCGTTTTCTCAGTTCTGAGGCTGGTTCCTTCATTCTCTTTCTGCTTGTTCGTCCATGTGGGAAGAGATAAGATGGACTCAGCTGGCACAGGCTAAGTAGATAGAGAGCATGCCTGGCTGTGGGTAGCTTTGCTACCAAATCCTATCACTCAACATTTTTGATTGGTATTGCCAGAACTTTGTGACATAGCCTAGCAGCAGTGTTTGTGGAGCAGGGAATGGGGAGGGCAGTCCATCTCTCTGCCAGTAATACCCTCCTCCCTCATTTATCTACCCTTACTCTGTGCACCCAAGGATTATTGGGGGGTGGTTTGTTTTATTTTGTTTTGCTCTTCTTTTCTGTTTAAAGAAAAAGCTTTGCACCCAGGCATAGTTTGGTTGATGAGGGTGAGGCCCAGGTAATTGTCATGCTTCCCCTGGGAGTTATTTTCTGTAGTTCTTCAAACCTGTTGAAGGGGGTGGTCTGTCTGAACCTTTTCTCTTGGGAGCATATGTGGCACATACCCCCACAGGCAGTGGGGAGGAGGTAGTTGTGGTATCATGTAGTTTGGCATCCCTTCTCCTCTCTTTTTGCAGCTCCAGAGTTGGGCTGCTCGTAAACCAAGCTGTCTGTTTATATGGAGAGCCTGGAGGGTGTCTGCCATGAGTCTGCTGCTAACAACAAGAACTGGCTGGTTTGGGAGAAGACACTAACCCCGTGAGTCTGAACCTAGCCACAGAATGTGCTTCTGATGCTTTGTTAGCCAATCTCCTTCCTTGAATCTTCACAAGAGCCTGGTTGCTTCCTGCTGTCTGATGGACCCATGCATTTATTTCTCCCTTAACCTCAGCCACTGTGCCCTGCTTATCTTGCCGGTCTCTTACTTGGTTTTGAGAGGGAGCCCTTTTAAGAGTTTGGCGACTTGCGTGTCATCTGGAGGGCTGTATCCTCTCTGGCTTGGCCCAGACCCCCTCCTCCCAGCTTCCCCACAGTTCCATTGTGTTTCAGGTTTCTCCTCAAGGGGCATTAGTTGGTGTCCCAGGCTGCTCTATAGCTTCCATTTTGACTGTAGGGCCTAAAGATTCCCTGTAGGCTACAATGACTTCTGATTTCTGTACCTAGGAGGTAGACAGGATTAAAATGGGAAGTGGAAAGGGAATTTTCTCCTAGTCCAAATGTTTTACTGCTATCCTAAGGCTCCTGTTATTCTTGATCTTCATTGGAAAGAATAGTGGGTTGGTGCTTCCATTTCCTCTCCCCGCGGGAGAGGAGCAGTTCCAGGCTTCTTCATCAAGAGAAATGTTTGGAATCAGGGAGGAGAAGTTGGAGAGGAATTTAGGTTAGGCTTTGGGGAATTTCAGGAAAGAGTATTTAGTCCCTAAAACTGAAAGACAGTGTTAGTGGAGGGAAAAGAGGACTGGATTTGAGTAAGAAGACCTAGGTTTGAATCTTGACTCTGTTACTTACTGTAGCTTTGTGATTTGGGGTCATTCACTTAGGTTTGCTGAAACTCTTTTGTAAAATGAGAGAATGGGACTAGATGTTTTCCAAATTCACTTCCAACTCTAAATCCTGTGAAACTTGTATCCAGATTCAGGTGTCTCTTTTAAATCATGACTTTGCCCTCTTGCTCTTACTATTCTTTGAGGTGGGTGGTGAGTGAAGTTTGACCTTTCTTTACATCTGGAAGTTGGGGTGGACTTTACCCAAGTTGAGCTATAAGCAACTACAAAGGAAGACTTAGCCAGAAAGGGGAGAGAGCGCCTGGGCTTCGACTTCTACAATTCCCAGTCTGACTTGTAGAGAGGTGAGTGAAAACTCAGGCTGGATGGGCAATTACTCAAAATTTATCTTTTGCCAACTTAGATGAGGTAAGGAAGAAGAGGGTTTCCAGATAAATGCTCAGTGTTCCTTGTGTTCTTATAAAACAATTAAAAACATCTTTCTCCTTCTGATTACCCTCTTTTCCTACAGCTTCTTCCCACTCCATTCCAACAGAAGGTCCCGATACTACGTGTTGGAAAATGGGGAGTTTGGGACCTGATGGGCTTTGCTAAGCCCTTCTAGAAAGAGAAATTGTTTTTTATTTAGAGGACAGGAAACAGAAGGTAGGGTGTAGGTCAATGGAAGAATTGTGTGTGTATACTTTTCTTTGTAATACTAGGATTGGAAAGAAGAAGGCAGGAAGAGGGTATGTTGGTGACTATTCTGGTTCTGTTCAAGAAAGTCAGATGGACTTGGAGCTGAGACCCCAGTCAAAAACATTTATCACTCTACCCTTTTTGAGAAAGAGAAGCCCTGTGTAGGAGATGTTGGTTCAGGGTACTTTTGGTCTAGTGAACTCAGAATTCACTGTATTCAAAGTGAATGATTAAAGTTGGCACAGGGGTCTGAATGGTAAACAGGGGAAGCGTTTACATTGCCAGGTGTGTTATAATTTGGTCTTGAATAAAATGGGGACTAACTTTGTTCCTTTAGGTGTTTATTTAGAGCAGAAGATAAGATAGGCAGTGCTTGTGGTGTTTACTCAGGTGGGTACTTATAAGTAACCAGCACTGGTTCTAAGCGGCTCAGGGTTACCCTGGATCCAGACATTTCCCATCTTCTTGGGACTTCTGAGGACCTGTCACTTTAGTAAAGTCAGGAAGAGGACCAAACCTGGGCAACAGGCTGAATTGGATGGTAAGGTCAGTATTAGTTGGGACAAGCCAGCTTCTTCACTGATCAAGGGGTTGGCCTGGGAGCCGATTGACATCTAGCTAGTGCTCATAACACTAAATTGATGCTCCTCCCAGACCCCACCCCCACACTGTTGGCTGCCTGCCTGCCACGCGCCCAGGATTGCTGGAGGCTTTGCTCATGCATCTCAGGAACAGCTGCACACTTGGCCTGGGTAGGGGATGTAGAGGGGGGAAGGGTAGCAGGAGAAGCACTGAAAGACTGAATCTCAGGTCCACTGTGGCGGGGATAGCCAGCTGTATGGGGAATGATTATGGCTCTATGTGCCTCAGCCCAAAGATTTGCAGATTGGTAGGGTTACATGAGGATAGACATGAAAGACATCTGAGCCCCTTCTGTGGTGAGCCCTGTTTTGCTTCTTTGATAGATATACCCCTTAATGTTCAATGAGGAAGTAGGAAGGCATTGGTGGGGTAATGGGCCAGCAGCTTTGGCTTTCCTGGAATTTGGTTAGAAGCAGAGCCCTGATTTTTTAGGGGGAATCTAGAAATAGATCTGCATGGGATACAGTCTCCTTCCTCCTAGGGGACTATCATCTTGTCTGGCTTTCAAGTTACTGAAATGTCTGAGTCCCTGACTCTTTAAGACACTAGATTTCCCCTCCTATTTTCTTCATGAGATAGCACTTGGGCTCTGTGTGCCTTAGCCCAAATTTTTTTTTCTGAATGAGAATTTGAGTGGTTTACTCTTAAATTATGCCTGTTTCCCAAAGTTAGAAAGATTTTTGTGTCAGAACAGGAAATAGAACCCAGAAATCAGGATATTTCCATCTGATTGCTTTTTCTTCTGTATCATTCTGCGTCTAATAGAGATTCAGCCTATTTCAGGGCTGAGGAAGCTGAACTAGGACCAGAAGGATTTCCAAAACTTGGTGTAGTTGTCAGAGTCTGGGGATGGTTTTGAATTTAAAGGGCCAAGAAGTCAGAAGTATTTAAGAGCCCCATTTTCCAATTCAAGACCAGGAAGTGGGGGGAACGGTACTGGGGAGACAAGGTATCATGGGCTGAGACTGTTAAATTCCCTAGCTACAATTTGAATTTTGCTGCCCTGTCTGGAAGACAACATTAGATCTTTGAGAAATCTGGTCCCTGACAAGGGAAATTGTAATCTTAGCTCAAATATGGATCACACCCTCATATTTGCCGTGTGCCTTCAAAAGAGGTTGCTTTTTCTTTCTTTTCAGTGGCATCCTGGACATTGGGAAAGTCCATAAAGAGCCTGCCTTAAGGGTAGTAGAGTATAGTTGAGTCTTAGAAATAATTCTGTTGCTCAGTTGCTTCTCCTCTATGTCAGGAGTAAGGGAATACCAGGGAAGAGCCAGAGGTGATGGCATTGCCCCTTACCCAATTTCTCTGTGGGCTCAGGGCAACAGGTGTGTCCCATTTCCTAGCCTGGGGGGCAGTGGTGGCACAGAGACTGTAACAGATTTCTCTTGTCTGCTCACCTCCTTGCCCAGCTGTTCTATAGGTTAGCAGTGCATGTCTAGTCCTATTTCTGATGAAAGTAGACTTTGTTCTTTGGAGGCTGATAATCGTGCCCCATGGGGGTGTAATCAGGGAGAAGGTATTTAATACAGGGCAGGCGGGAACAGGCGGCCTGTCCCAGCTGGCAGATTGCAACATGACAGGTATGGTCTCATCTCTCTCCTCTCCTCCCTTTAGTGTCCCAGCCTATATACAAGAGGTGAAGAATGAATGTTATGCAGGAGTAGAGTAAAGGGGTGGGGAGGAGAGGGAGGAGCTTTGCATACTCTTTTTCCCTAGGAATTGGAAGAGGAAAGCTCTACTGTGATAGACTTCACATGGTAGATAGACCTAGCTGTGTGTCTGTTGGCTTTTTCATAGGAGTCCAAGATGCCTCTGGGCTGATCCAGGCAGCAAGAGTTCTCAGGGTTTATCCCACCTTTCTTTATCAACTGTTTTTTGTAGTTCAGCCTGTCATAAAACCTAGCTCTTTTCTTTCCCCCAGTGTGATAGGTTGAGGTGGTTCAGGAGATTCTCTAGTATACTTAAGATTTCCACACTCCAGCAGCCTGGTGAACCACGAACAGTCTGCCCACAAGCATCAGTGAGCACAGCTACAGAGAGTAGATAGGGAAGCCCCATGGCAAGCTGCAGCAGGAGGTAATGGCTTGTTGCCAGCTCTGGACTGTGGCTACAGGTCATCTGGTCCAGGAGAATGCATGGTGAGAAGGGGAGGTGAAGGGGACATCCAGGACAGGGAAAGAATAAAGTAAGCAAATGAAATATTTGTAAAATGTAATGGGATGAATGTCTTCAAAGAGCTTCGTATTTCTCTGCACAATGTAAATACTGTGTTGCTATACTATATTACTATTTAAGGGTAATTAACCCTGCTACCTAATGCACATGTTCCAAATAAAGATTTTGCATGGAAAAAAAAAAAGATTTCCACCCTCCCTCCATCTCCCAAGACCCATCCTGAGGTAAATATTGATTCCATGGGACTTCCTGGAACCATCCCAGCCTCCAGGAAAGCAGTACTGGCTCAGCCACAGTCACTCAAAACCCTTCCTAGGCTTTTGTGGAATCTACCATCCCCCCAGCCCCAGCTACTTTTCCTCAAATTCCTTCTAACCTCATGAACTCTATCCTAGGCTGAGGCTCTTGGAAGACTTTTCTTAATCAAGAGAGTCTAGAAAAGGCAAACTGGAGGAGGGGTTGAGGAGGTCCTGGAGTAATGTTCTCCATCTTCCCTCCTGATCTTCCTTCACTGCTCTACTTCAGCCTCCCTCTCTTTACTGTCTTCCATCTCGCAGCTGAGTTATCAGATTTTTTTTGCTCTTTATTCTTTACTGTACCCAGTTGTACTTATTCTCCACAGAGCTTCTCTCTTCCTTTTTGAGGATAGCAGGCTCGATGGATGTATAGAGAGTTACTGCCCTGTCTCTTTCCCCCCAGCAGAACATCATTTATGACTCCTTGTAAGTTCAGGAGTTGGGATATGAAGCCAGATGACCCATCAGGGACACAGTGTACATGAATAGATCAGAGATGAGGGTGGGGATGGGGTGGCTCCAGCTCCCGGGAATCAACAGTTTCAACCCTAACTATAAATTATATTCTCTGTCCAGACAGATTCCCTTTTGATGATCTGCCTGATAATTGTCTTCCCTGCTTTTCTTCTGTGGCAATAGGTTACCCCTCCCCACATGGTACTATATACCAAACCCCCTTTCTGCCATTTAGAAGTATTTTGAAAAGAGCAAGTGGCTTCCATGCTGATTTCTCAGTATGAATTTTCACCTGACCATGGTCGTTCATTCTCTCCGAAAACTTGAGCTGGTCTTAGCTTAGGGTGGGAAGTGGGAAATGTTTGTTCAAGGCCCTTTGCATTTTGAGACAAGCCGACCTGCAGGATGTGGATGTAACCAGAGCCAGGGACTATGGGGCTTGGAATGGGGCAGATCTGCTTACAGGTAGGGTTACCAGATACCTGAGAGAGAGATAGAGTCAGAGACAGAGAGCGAGCTCATCCTCCCTCCCTGTGCTCACACCAGTTGCTTGGTGCCGTGAAAGAGAGGTGGGGAGAAAACTTTGTATTGTAGGGAGGAGAGAATTCATAGACCTGGGGGTGAGGGGTACATGAAGAGACCTGCAGGGAGGAAGTTATTCTTTGGAAGCAGGGGGTGGAATGACTAGGAAAATGGGCAGGCATTTGGCTTCTCTTTCAGAGAAGATGTAGACTAGCAGGGCATATTATCCTTCTTCCCCACAGGTTTAGGTGACTGCTGTGGCTTAGTGGCCCCTTCTCTTTTCTCCTGTCCTGTGCCACCAGCATGTTCTGGGCTGGGTTCTGTTTGCTCGTGGATAGTAATAGCGTTGGGGCCATTGCCCTGTGCTCCTCCCCTTGCTGCTTCCTGGCCATCTGCCCTGCTGGGGAGTCACCCCTTTAAATCTGGCAGCCTAATGGTCTCTCTAGGCCCCTTCCCCCAGGCCTCTTCTTGAGGGATACCACTCTAGGGGAGCCTGGTGGCATGGGGGTGGTGGGGTTGTGGCTTGTTTGCTCTGAGGAATGTGCTATGTCTTTGTGGGCCTGCCCAGCATTCCTGCAGAGCGAGTCAGTCAACATGCTGCCTGTGCCCTGTGGGGACATGCTTCTAGCCCTGCCATCAGAGGGAACGCAGAGGTTGTGGCTCGTGCCCCTGAGGCCCAGACCTAGTTCCCCTTGGCCCCACCCTACCCCAGGGTGTGGATTGGGCCGCCCAGACAGACCTCTCCTTACATCCTCCCTTCACCCCTCCAGCACGCTTCTTGCCCTGGGCCCTGCAGGAATGCAACAGGAGCCAGTGCCGAGTCACAGCCAGGGCATGTCCTGACAGCAGAAACACGTGCTCCTTCCTGCTCTGCTCCCACCAGCCCCCAGCTCTATGACTGGGATGGGAGCTTGTTTTTTATACCAAAGAGGCCAGTTGAGGTTAGTGCCTTCCCCAACTTCAGGCAGGTGTTGACTGCCCCCATGCTGTAGCTGTGTTCACTGCAAGTGACGGTACCCTTGTTCCTTCAGAATAGGATTTGGGAGTTGGGGAAAGGGGGGAAAAGGGGAGTGGGTACAATTCTCTCCTGGACCTGTCATTGTTCTCTTTCTGAGGTGTGTTAAACTTCAGTTTGTACTGAGGAAGTGTTTGTACCCACAGAAACAAGTGGGATAGCCTTTAGGGAACATTGGTGTTATCTGCTGTTATCTCGTTAGATTTCTCTCTTTTTTTCCTGCTTACCCCCTGGAGATTTCTTGGTTGTTTCAGAGCCCTGAGGAAATAGTGGGCAGTAGGGAAACGGGGCATCCAGTCCAGAGGCATGTGGCAAGTTGAGATCCCATTCTGCTGCCTCTCAGATTCCTTGTCTGACATTTTTGTCTATTTCTGACATTGTCTGACATTTCCTCTAGAAGGATTGGGAACTAAAGTTCTCCTGATTCAGTAAGACTTGCTTCTCTTCATACATACTTTTTTCCATTCTCTCCTTAGTGGCAGTCTTTTCTCTAGTTCTTGCTAGTGAATATCCTTAGCCCTAGGGACCAAGGATAGGCAAGCTAGCAGTCCTCACAGACAGGTGGCTGACACCCGGTTTCTCCTTTCTTCTCTTCTTGGATTTCAGGAGCTGTCAGCCAAAGGAGGTGGAGGGGCCCCAGAATGAGGAGAGCCAAGGGCTGACTCCAGGACAGCAGAACGGAGGGAGCTGCCGACAAACAGACGGTATGTCGCTGTAGAGACCTGAAGTGGTAGCCTTTTTGGTGGGGGAGACTTGGGCCAAACTAAAGGTTGGGATAAAAGATAGAAACTTTAGGTAGGAGGCGTTACGGACTGGAACCATGAGAGCTATGATAACTAGGTGGTGGATTTACTGGACCCTAAATCTTTGGGGGTCTTGGAGTCCTCTTGGGCTCACAGTTCCCGCCCTGAGCCCCAGCGGAAGAGATGGTTGGACAAAAACCCTGTAGTATAGATAGTCAAAGCTTGTTTTCTGGCTTTGGGGTGGGAGGAGGCCATAGAGGAACCTGTATTCAGGGTATATCTCAAACCCTTCTGGTTCTTCCTATCAGAATGCCTGAGTGAATCTCCTTGGTGAGGCCTCAGTCTGAGCCCCACAGGTGAGTTGTGCTTCTCATTGAAAATAGTCTTCATTATTATTATTATTTATTCTTCTTTATTTATAAGGAGCTTAAAAAGGAAGAAAGAAAAAGAATACACATCCACAAACACTGATCCACATGTCTTCCCCCAGCTGGGTAAATGGTTCAAAACCCCAGTTATGGTTTTGGGCTTTTAGGGGTGGGTGCTTCTTCCTTATCAACTGCAGCATTCCTTCTCATCAGCATCACTATCCTCATTTCTACCAGTTTGGTGTTAGCTGAAATGGGTCCAGGTCTAATAATAATAATAATAATAACAATAATAATAACTAATAGCTAGCATTTATGTAGTGCCTTATGGTTTGTAAAGCATTTTACAAATATTATCTCATTAGATCTCACAACCACACTGTTAGATAGGGGCTATTGTTATCCCCATTTTACAGATGAAGAAGCTGAGGCCAAGAGAGGTTAAGTGGCTTACTCAAGGACACATAGTCACAATTCAGACTCAGCTTTTCTCAACTCCAATACTGGGCCCCATGGCTGCCAGGTTATGTTTCATCTTTACACCACTCATCTGATTTCTGGAGCCAGACAATCAGCTTCTGTTCCAGAAAACTTTCCTAAAGAACCCTCTCAGTAACTAGGTATAAGTGGTGGTGGGGAGTAGGGGGAGGGATGCTCTCTTGAGGGTTCCTCTCCACTGCCTTTTTTGTGAAGAGCCGAAATCCTCATTTGTCTTCTTCAAGTAGTAGTTGAGCATTTGTCTTATGTTCCCCTCTTCTCCCCCTACCTCAGCTCCCTCCACAAGGTTAAGGAGTTTCACCTCTCCCAGGATGACCAGTGCAGCCCCCTCTAAGAAGCCGTACCGAAAAGCACCACCACAGCACCGGGAGCTGCGGCCTGAGCTGTCTGCTCCATGGGCTCAGCAGGAGGTCAGCATGGTTGAATGCCAGGTAACCTAGCTTTAGTGGACACTGGCAGGCATAGAGTCCTGGGCAGTCAGCCAGCACTTCCACTGCCTTGACTTCTCTTGGTCTAAGAAGGACGTAGTGGGAATCAGAGGAGACAGTGCAGGAGGCCGTGGAGTGGGTGATGATGCCTCTGGATGTGCTCTACAACTGTCCACAGTATGTGCTGGTATTCAGGCAGCTTGCCCAGGAGTGGGTCCTGCCCAAGGGGATTCTCAAGCTTCCAGAGGGTTTGAGTTGGCTCAAGAAAGGTGATCCTACACAGTCTGTCCCCAGGGAAGGCCAAGTGCACTAGGAGGGCCTAGCGCACAAAGCACTGGGTTCCTGGACTGTCCAGAAGAGAAAAGATGTTGTTTTGAACTTGACCAAAAGCAGTGTCAAGAGAGTTACCTTGGAGGGCTGTGGCTTAGAAGTAGCCTCACCACTTTAGAGGAAGATCTGAGCCAGCCTCAACCTCAGTGGTAGATGTAATCCTCCTGTAGAAATGCTCAATATAATCTTTTAGAAATGATTATGTACTTTGAACAGGATGGTAATATATAAACTTCATTCCAAAGAGCCATAATAGCCACAAGAATAAGTGGTTGTAGGAATATTAAAATTCTGGCCATACCACAAGTTAAAAATAAAGTGGTCCTACCAAGAGGAATACTTTCAAGATGATCTAGGGCATATGAAAGTGGGTTTCTACAGAGGATCACAGTCAAATCCTAAATATTTGTGTTTCCCCAAATATCTTTGCCCCAGAGTTCAATAGTTCTCCTTGCTGCTGTGCTGAACAATCTCAGAGGCTTCCTCTTCCCTAAGGACTTATCCTTCCTTCACTTTCATTCTGAGAAAAGGAGATTGCCTCCATTACAACCTGGCCCCTTTCCTCCTGTTCACCCCCATCTATGCTTAGGACACAAATTTTAGAGTGGCCACACTGGCTTGGGGGAGGAGACATCTCAGTTCCTTCTTTCTCTGAGCCCTGTGTTAGAAGTGTGTGCGTGGAAGGATCAGGCCACTTTCTCAGCATCCCACATTTGCTGTGCAGTCAGGGCATCAGCTACCTTAGAGCACTCTAGCACTGTTTGTATGAGGGGTGGGGTGTGGGATACATCTTTATGGAGGCCTGGATGAAGGAAGTTCTTGAGGTCAGTATGTTTGGCACAGTCTCTGTGTTGCTGGCCTTTGGGGTTAGAGAAGAAGCAAGGATGGGGAGGTGAGCACTGCCATCTCCTTGTGGTCAGAACAGGGGTGGGTGACCTAGGTCTTCTTGACTGGCCATGTTAAATTTAAGGTAGAGGATAGGATGAGCAGGAGCAGGTTCAGAGCTGAGCTTTTGACTTCTTTTCTTTTGTGCACAGGAGTCCCTGACAGACTCGGAGAGGATGAAGTAAGTGTTGTCCTTCAAGCCCCTCATCATGATTCTGTCTGCCCTCTCCTTCATTTTTGTGACTCTAGTACCTTGAACATCAGAGACATTTGATAATTTTAATTGAATTATTCCCTGTCAGCCCCTTTACCCCAGCTTTTGGTTCTGAGGAGAGAGGTGGAATCTTCATTTCATCATTTCTGTGTCTCCACCTCTGTGGGAAGGTCATTGCTGGGCAAAGGGAGGTGGCCTAGTCCTATTGGGCCTTGTGCTGAAGACACTTTTCCTTTGGGTGCCTAGGCTGGATTTTTAAATGAATAATCGAGAAGATTGCACCTGGATGCTGAGTTAGTCTGGATGGTAGCCAGAGACAGGAAGTGTAGAGTCTGACTCTTCCTTCTCATTTCTTTTTTCTTCTCATTCCTGGTTTGCCCTTCCCCCCTTCTCAGCTGAGTTTTAGGACTCTGCTCATGCATGACCTCATCACTGGCAGAATGAGAAGCAGCAGTTTGGCTAAGGGTTCCTGCAACAAGCAGAGAGTACAGTTTAGGCTTTAGACCTCATTCTCGTCCCCCTTTTATGTGGCTGTCCTCTTCTGATCCTGGGTACTCACCTCTTCCCCATCCAGGCTCCTGCAGCAGGAGAATGAGGAGCTGCGGCGGCGCTTGGCCTCTGCTACCAGCCGGACAGAAGCCCTGGAGCGGGAGCTGGAGATTGGACAGGACTATCTGGAGCTGGAGCTGGGTCAGAGCCGGGAAGAATTGGACAAATTCAAGGACAAATTCCGACGGTGAGGGTGGGGCTAGAATTGCACTGGGATCACACTGGGAATGGGGTGAGATGGGATGAACAGGGCTGCAGCCCTGCTTGCTGAGAGCTAGCTCTGCCTCTCTTTTCATGTCTGTAGGTTACAGAATAGCTACACAGCGTCACAGAGGAACAACCAGGAACTGGAAGACAAGTTGCACACGCTGGTAACTGGTCACGAAGGTTGCCTCAAGGGCACTGAGTCCACCAGAGGGCAGGGTGCCCTAAGACTACCCCAGGGAGATCTCTGTACTCTCAGGGACTTGGGAGCAGTGGTGGGAGGAGGTCAGGAGCTGGGGGAGGGGAAGGAGGAAGGGTGGGGACCGCAGTGTGTTGTCTGAGTCGGGACTGTCCTAATGCTCACGGCTGTTTCTCTTTTCTCCTCGTCTTCCCTTCCCCCATGCCGCCATTGCTGCTGCTGCGCTCTCCTCTCAGGCCTCTCTTAGCCACAGCTGGATTTTTGCAGTTGCGTCTGAGTTTGTTTTTTCTCTCTTGTACCTTGGCCTTGCCCTGGGACCCCCCTGGGATCCTGGCTAATTACCCCTACCCTTTGCTCCATTACTAGTGCCCTATTCTGTCCCTCCTCTTTATCCCTGTTCCAGGCCCTGTCCTCTTGCTGGAGCAGTGGCCATGGGTGCCCTCCTCTCTCAGGAGCTATGGAGGGCAAGGGAGCCTTGTAGGTGGCTCTTGGGGTACTAATTGATGCCAGTGTTGGACAGTGTCCTCTCTGCTGCATTCAACAGAGCTGACTGAGTGGCTTCTCCATCAGAGGGGCTGAGCTTTGAGGGGTACCCTGAATATGTGTTCCTCTCATTTCCATCTCCTGGAGTTGCTATAAATCTTGCCAGTGCTACAGAAATGTCAGGCTGCCTCTTAGGGCCACCTTCACTGCTTGCCCCTCCATTTCCACCCTCCCCATTCCTGGGCACAGTACATCCTTAGAAGCTTCCATTGATTCAGCAGCACCTGTGTTTGGAAGGTCCCTGCCTCTGAACAGGTGATGTCAACTGCTGTCAGTTTGCCCTTTCCCTTTAATTCCCCCCTCCCCGAGCTAATGCCCATGAGGAGTCCTTTGAACTGCAGTGATATGGTAGTCCAGACACTTCTACCTGCTCTTTTATGTGGAAGGTGATAGATAGTCCATGCCCTCTCCCATCCCTGCCCCTGCCATTTAGCCAGCTTAGAGAGCAGGAGAGAGGCCCCTGGTTCCCTTTGTCTATACATCCGTCCGTCTGTCTGTCTCGTCTACCTTAGCTGTCCCAGCTCCTGTGGCTGTCCCATACCTGTTTGGGGGGGGGTAGTGATTTGAGGTGTCAGTACGTATCAAGCTGAGGCTATTTAATCTCTTACGTTAGATTAAGAAGGCTGAGATGGACCGGAAAACCCTGGACTGGGAGATTGTAGAGCTGACTAACAAGCTCTTGGATGCTAAGACCACCATTAACAAGCTGGAGGAGCTCAATGTAGGTTCCCCATGGGCCTTTTTCCTTGAGCTGGTGGGGTGGGGGGCATGAGCTGCGGCTGTGGAGGTCATGACGCCAGTGCCTTCTGGAAAGGGAGTCCCTTCCTCTTCCTTGTAGCCCCTCCCGTGCTGGGCATAGGGTGGGTGCTAATCTTAGTGCTCTACCTCCAGGAACGCTACCGGCAGGACTGTAACCTGGCTGTGCAGCTGCTTAAGTGCAACAAGTCCCATTTCCGAAACCATAAGTTTGCTGATGTGAGTGTGACCCCCTTTTACCTCCCTGGCCTCCTCCTTCTGTGATTCTCACTTCTAATTCCACTTCCCTCTGCTTTCCCACCTTCCTTTTCTGCCTGTCCCCTCTTTATACCCTGTTGATTCTCTCTGGTTGATGTCCTCCACTCTTATTGTCCTTCCTGAGGGGGTGGAGAATGGGAGTAAGGGATCTGTTACCATTTCCTGAGTAGAAGCAAATGGGGGGAGCAGGGAGAGGATTGAACTCCATGTCTCCAAGCAAGGAGGAGGGGGATGTGGAGAGAGCTGTTTGACAGGGACAAAGCCTTGGGGACACAAGGTGAGGAGGGGTATGCCAGTATTCTTCCAAGTAGGGACCAACTACTGAAGACCCTAGGACTGTCCCCAGGCTGAAAGTATGAGAGTGTAGTTAAAGCAGAGGGAGATCCTGGAGGTGTCACTGCTGCTTTCCTTAAGCTTGTTCCTGGATCTGGGGACAGAGGTTGATATAGAGGTGTCACCCAGGCTTAGATGTGGGTTCATGTTCCAATAGCCTTGGTTGTTCTACTCAGATCTGTATCTCTCCTATGCAGCTGCCCTGTGAACTTCAGGACATGGTTAGCAAGCACTTGCACAGCACACAGGATGCCCCTGGTCATAGCCCTGCCCCTAGCCTGGCCCCAGGAGCTGTGGTGCCCACCTCAGTCATTGCTCGAGTACTGGAAAAGCCAGAGTCACTCCTGCTCAACTCTGCCCAGTCTGGCAGCGCTGGACGCCCTGTAGCTGAAGATGTCTTTGTGCATGTGGACATGAGTGAGGGGGCCCTGGGCAATCCTGCCAGTCCCACGGCTCCAAGGAGTCCCACTTCTCAAGCCAATGGGGAGTGCTGCCCACCAGGCAGTACTCGGGGCTCATCAGAGGAAGAGCTGCCCTTGCCACCCTGTGAGAAGTTGAGCCCTTACCCTACTCCACCACCCCCACACCCATTGTACCCAGGCCGAAAAGTGATTGAATTCTCCGAGGACAAGGTGCGAATCCCCAGGAATAGCCCTCTGCCCAACTGTACCTATGCCACCCGACAGGCCATCTCTCTAAGTCTAGTGGAGGAGGGGTCAGATCGGGCCCGACTCAGCCCTGGTAGCCCTGCCTCCACCCAGGCTTCACCTCAACCACTTGCCAGTCCGCCCTCTGTACCTAGTGCTGTGGCCAGCTCAGCCAGCTCTGAAGAGGATCTGCTATTGGCCAGCTGGCAGCGAGCATTTGTGGATCGGGCACCTCCACCTGCCCCTCTGACCCAACGTACAGCCTTTGGGCACGATGCGCTTCCAGATTTGCACAGTTTTGCTGGCAGCACCTCAGATAATGAGGACACTGGCCCTGTGCCCTCCTCTCCAGTTGGTGAGGGGTGTCGACTCTTGCCTTTTCCCAACCCACCCCCATCCAGGGATGATGATGAGTTGAACCTGCCCATTAGCCCTGCAGAGGAGTGCCAGAAACTGCTTCCTGAAGAGGAAAGGGAAGGGTCAGGGTCAGGTACCTCTCCTGGGGAGGGGAGGGTTCGATTGACCTCTAACCGTCCTCAGAGAAGCCCTAAGCGGATGGGTGTGCACCATTTACACCGAAAGGACAGTCTGACCCAGGCTCAGGAACAGGGCAATTTGCTTAACTAGGTCCTCATCACCCCTAATCCCTGCTAACACCTGTCCCTCTCTCCCCACCCTTCCCCCACCATACATACCACCAGGTTGTTACTGCATGGGGGATACTGAGGCATCTTGCTCACTCACTCTAAACTCAGGTTCCCCAACCCTCTGCTCCTTGGACCAGCCAGTTGATGCCATTAAAAAGCAGGGACCTTGACCCTGGATGCAGCATTGAATCAGTCCCTTCACCCAACTTTAGCTTGGCCATTTCTAAAATTGGGACACCAGATGACTGTCCACATATGGCCCTTTAGGCCCTTACTGATCTGTGCTGAGCACAGGACACTGTATCTTTTCCCAAACCTTGACCATCTCGTGTTTTGGTCTGCACTGGGTATTTTGAGTAGGATTGGGGTGGGGGAGGGATCGGGGAAGGTCCTGTCAGTATTTGCCCCCAAGTCTACTTCTCCCTCAAGGGAGTTTATTTTGGGGGGAAGGGGTTGTTTTTGAACCCCAAGTTTCTATTTACTTATTACCTGAAAACCCTTTCCATGGCAGGGGCTATTGCTATAGGTCCCTCCAGTAGAGTTGGCCCTGTGGAGGTAAGGGTGAAGGGAGGATGGCATAGGGCTTTCTGTTTCCTCCTTGGGGACAGTGGGGTGAAGAGAAATCTGCCTGGGCTGGCCCTAGACCCAGGGAAGACTAGAGGTGCCCCTCCCCTCCTTTGGCTCTAGACTGTTACTCTAAGCTTTGGGAAGTTTTCACATTGATGAGTCTATTTTAAAATCAGAAATAAACTATTTTATCTGAAGTATTGTGTCATCTGTACCACTTAACCCTTTAAACTTGCTCCTGTGTGGTGGTTCCTCCAAACCAAAGGTGTGTCTGAAGCCACTCAAGACTTGATGAGATCCCCACCTCAAATCCCCTGATACTAGAGGTGACTCTTGGAACCCCCTTCTCATGAGATGTAAACTTACCTCCAGCTAATGTTGCACACAAGCAAGGGATCTTGACCTAGCATTGAGTCATTCTTGTCACCCTTCCTGAGCTAGACAAGTTCCTGACCTAGTTTCTAAGCCACCTAAGCTTCAGGGCTGTTCAGGGTTCAGTAGAGGAAGAGGCTGCAAATCAGCCCTAGGCTGAGCTGCCTGAATTGTTGTTAGACACTGGACGGCATCATGGCCTTTTGGACACCCCACAATCGGGTGCAAGGCCATCCATTCAGCCTTTGATGATGGGCCTCTACTTATGCAGTCCTGCGATGTCTGGTGTCAGCCCTTTCATCATGATCCCTGAGTGTGGATGAAGAGGGCAGTCAACACGAAGTGGAATGAGACGCTGGAATGAGAACGAGACCCAAGTTCAAAAGTCCTGATTCTGCCAATTAGCATCACAGATTTAGAGCTGGAAAGGACCTCAGAAGGCTTTTAGTTGAGCCCCTTCATTTCACAGTTGAAACTGACTTGCCCACTAGGATCAGGAGGTAGTAAGTGAATTTTGACTAAGGTGACTGACTACTGTCATCCTGGGGGAGTTATTTAGCTTTGTGAGGTTAACAGCACTACCTACCTACAGTGTTGTCAAGATTAAATGTGTGTAAAAGCTTTCTAACTCCAGGGCTACAGAAACGTGACCCAAAATGATTAAAGTGAGTCCCTGTGCCGGACTTGAGGAGCAGCATTGCACCCTAGTGGTAACCTCATTTGGGTTCTTCAGGAGCTTTTGGGATGCAGACAGTGCCTGCTGGCTGCTGCCATCATTTCTCCACAGTCCTTTAGAGCCTCTCCCACCCACCCCCAGTGACCATAGCCACACACTAGGTTGTGGAGTTTATAAAATCTACCGAGCCAGCGGGCTGCAGCCAGAGCTGCTAATGCAGCTAGGGGTATTGCCCTGGGAACAAATGTGCCACAAGGCCTTTTAGTCAATCACAGTTACCAGAGCCACCCACCTGCCCACCCTGCGGCCAGGGGGCTTCCAGAGCCCTGCGTATCACCCCTCCTGAGACCCGAGGGCTTTACCCTGCTCACAATGGCATGTGTAGACATGTACACACGGGAGGACACACACAGGGGCACATGGTGGAGGATAGGGGTTTTGGGGGTAGGGGTAGAGTTGCAGGATTCACATCTCAGTCTCAGCCAACAGACTATCTCCCAGCCCTGATGTCATCAGTATCATCTGGGAGCCAGGATCTGCAGAAAGGGTTAAAAAAAAAAAAGGTTCTTTATTGAGATTATTCAGAGCAAGGGGGCAGGGAACACAGTGTCTAGCTTGGGGTAAGTTGTCCCTTAGCCTGCCATATACGGAGTGGTGAAGACGGGACTAAGAATTTCAGCGCCTATTTCTTACATTTCACTTTCCCCATCCCCTGCTGTTCCTAGATTCTGGCTCTTACCGCTGGGGCAGATCCAGGATCCGCCCCTCTGGCGAGCATCGAGTCCCCCCTCTCGATCCCTCTCCTGGACCCGGCCACCATCTCCCGAGGCAGCTGCCTCCTCCTCTTCTTCACCCTCTGACAGCAGGTCACAAATCTGCTGCTGCAGCTCTGGGCTGATGCTGTTCTCAGTTAACACCAGGCTCCGCAAAGCCGTGGGATAATTCTCCACCATGTCCAGCAGGGTCTGGGGGTGATTTGTGGGAGGATGGAAGCAGGAAGGATTAATGAAGTACACAGACACCAGTCTCCTACCATCTCTAGCATGTGTTTCAATCCCACCTCCTGCGGCACATAAAACTATCAACTTCCCATCCCTAATCCAAGCTTGGGACTCTCCTGACCTCCTCTCTACCTCCTCCTCCCTCAGAGTGGCCTGACTGATTTCAGCACAGCAGGGAGAAGGGGGCCCCAGTAGCATCAGGGAAGACATGATTCACAAAGCAGGGAAGTGCCAGGTGATTGTAGATGGTGAACGACCACTCTTACGTTTATTTGGTAGCTTCTAGCAACGTGCTTTGCCTTGGGCACTCATGCAATACTGGGTTTCGATAAGGAGTTGTGTGATAGACTAAAGATAGCCCCTGAGTGAGAGTCAGTGTGACCCTGAACAAACTTTACCTGCCCTCTCTGCGCTTGAACTTCCTCAATTAGAATACAAAGGGGTAAGGACAAGGGGTGGGGAACCTATGTCCTTGAGGACACAAGTGGCCCTCTAGGGCCCTTTGACCGAATCCAAACTTCACAGAACAAATCCCCCCATCATTGGACTAGAAGATCTTCGAGATTCCTGGCTGTAAATCCTATAGTTTAATTGTGGTTCTTATCCCCTCTGGAGGCACAAGGAAGGTAGGGGACAGTGTTGTATCCATTCTGTGCTCTCTAGGCTTTTTATTTCCCCTAGTGGCCACCCCAGTGCCCTGCACATGATGGGCTGAGTCAGGGCGACCAGTTCCTGGGCTCCTCACCTGGGCTGACTGGTTGGTAAGCCCAGTCCCTTCCAAGTCCAGGACCTCAAGGGTGCGGCTGGAGGCCACAGCCACAGCCAACATCCCTGCCACATGGTCACCTGAGGGAGACATCCAAGAAGAACTTACTGTTCCCTCCCATTCCTCAGCATCTCCCATCGCCATAGCAACCACCATATGCCCCACCTGTCCTGCTGAGTAAGGTTGGTGATTGGTTAGGTCACCAGGAAAAGATGACTGTGATTGGTATTGGTGGATGTATGGAGGAGCACAGCGGTGTGTGTGTGTGTGTGTTTCAATCCCACTGTCTCTGTCTGTGTGTCTCCGTAGTGCATAGAAGACTATCGCCCCCTCTGGCATCTCCCGCACTTGCCCAGGACTCTGGCATTGCCAAGGCAATACTTCCTTGAAGTCGATAAGGAGATTGAGAAGCAGAGTCCCCGGCCCCCATTCTCATACTTGGCATTCCAATTTCCTGTTGGGGGCAAGGGATTTCCCGGTGCCTCACCCAGGGGGTTGTAGTCCAGATTGAGAACTCGGACCTGGGAGCTGTGGGCCACGGCGATGGCAAGTCTGCTCCAGCCCTTAGGGGTGATTCCAGGGTTGGCACTCAGGGTCAGCTCCTTAAGGCCTGGTGGGGGGGAGAAGTTGGTGGTGCTGAGGTTTGTGGCACCTGGGCCCATTTTCCAGGCTGCAGTCAGAGACCTGAGGAAAGTCCCTGCTACTCACCCAGATGTGTGACTTCACCTCACTTCCCCCTTTCCCACCCCTCCCAAAACCCAGCGCAACTGCTCTTCTACCAGGATTTGGAGCCTGCTCACAGGTTAGGGGGGTGTGATCCCTATTCACCCTTCACCCCCTTAGTTCATAGTTGTACTACTTAGGGCATTTCCAAGAATCCACTCCCCTCAGGGCCCCTAAATGTGTTAGGCTCTGTAGTCCATACTCCATCCCCTAAGCAGGGTAACCTCCCACCCTCAGAAGTGGAACGGATAAAACTGCTGTAAAGGAAGCCAAGAGAGCCTCAGGAGAAGTGCACAGCGTCCCGCCTGGGTCCAGGCCCACCTCATTCCCTTGCCCCTTGGATCGTGACCCTCAGCACTGCCCTGCTCACCTGACTTAGCCCCGTCAGGGGGCAGGAGACCACAGATGAGGTTGATGGCTTCATCCCCCAGCATGCAGTCACCTAAGTCTAGGGCCACAAGGGCAGGGTGCAGAGCCAGGGAAGGGTTGAGCAGGGCCAATCCAGCATCTGTCAGGGGGCTCCCATGAAGGCTGGGAGTGGGGAGAACAGTGGGGTGCTGGTCATTGCTATCATCAGGTACTAGCCTCTCTACAGGATGGGTTATCTTGCTTTCAAACCCCAGGGTACATGGTGGGGATGGGGGTATGGAGAGGAAGGTGGACGGAAATCACAGAGCTAGCCAAAGTATCACAGAGGGACCTGGGAGACAGGAGAACTCCAAGGTCAAAGTGGAAGTGGGTTCAGGTCTTTATGGGGCAGGGGGTAGGGCTGTGGAAGGATCAAGTTTTGGGAGAAAGCTCAATCTGAGAGGATTGAAGGATTGGTGGAAGACTTAGGTTGTTTGGTGTGTCAGGGAATTAAAAGAGGAAAGCTAGGGCATCCTAGAGTGGGAGGTCAGGGGTATCTGATTAGAATTTAGGGCATAGGGATTTGGGTGGGCATCCTGCATGGGAAAAGGGGCTAGTGAATGAATATTCAGGGTTGGAAATTAGGTTTTCATCTTGGGAAGAACATTAGGAAATGTTACAGCTCAGAGAGGGGGTGAGGTTTGAGATGAAGTTATGTGGAATATTAATTAGACCCCAGTGGGAAGTTATGGAGAAGTGCCCTAAGAAAGGAGGTTAGTAATTGCAAGGGGGTATCCTGGTTCAGAAAGGGAATAAAAGAGGTCAATTAGATAGGGCAGATCTTGACTTCTAATGGAAGATTACAAGACAGAGCTTCTCAGAGAGGGTTATTACCCAAGCTTTTCACACCGGGAGGGATGATGTGGATATTTAGGAAGTGAGGGTAGGGATGAATTTCCGCAGTTCATAAGATTCTGAGCTAGAAAGTACCTAAAGGGATCAACTTAGGCCTCCTTTATTTTATAAATGAGGAAACTGAAACCGAGAAAGAAGTAATTGCCCAAGGTCACAATGCTGTTGTTAAATGGGAGAGTCAGAATAACGGTGTAGAGCAGAAGGGGGAGATTAGAGAGCGTCTCTGGGAAGTGATTAAGATAAGGGGGACTAGAACTGACTGGGCGTGTGAGGATGAGGTTAGGGGGTCCTCCCGTGTGTGGCGGGGAGGGGGTTAGGTTAGGCAGGTCTCATCCAAGGAAGGGTGAACCTGTGTGCCTTAAATAGGGCGGTGCCTGAGAATACGAATCGGGGGATGACCCACAGGAGACTAGGTGAGGTTCCGGGGTGTGGCCCCCTGCCCAGCCATCCCCTCTCCCAGCCCGATCCTGGGACACTCACAAGAGGGACTGGACGGAGCGGTTGACCCTCAGGGCTTCGGCCAGCTGCTTGACACGCCCGGGGCTGGACACGACGCCCAAGTTGAGGTTGAGCTGCGCCAGGGACGAGGCTCCCGCCAGGGCGCGGCAGATGCGGGCGAAGTCGCGGTCGCAGAGGCGGCAGCCGCGCAGGGACAGCAGGCGCACGGCGTTGTCCCGCAGGCCGCGGCAGATGTCCCGCACCTCGGCGCTCGACAGTGGCTCCCCGGAGATCTGGATGGAGCTGGGCAGCATCGTCGCCGCCGCGGGGCCGGGCCGTGGAGGCCGCCGGGGGCGAGGAGCAGGGCACCCGGGTGTGCGCGCGGGCCCGCGGCGGGCCGTGCGCTCCGTGCCTGCGGGCCCCTGCCCGGGGCTCCGCTGCCCGGCTAGGGGCGGCGCTGCAGCCCGGCTCGGGTGGGCGGGGTCCCGGCCGCGGCACAGGCGCCCTGGGAGCCCTGAGCCCCGGGCCCCGCGCAGCGGGCAGCGGCGGCTGCGGCTCCGGCTCCGGGGCCTGGGCTCATGGCGCGTGGCCCCGGCACAGGCGGGCCCGGCCCGGACGGAGCACGTGCCCCGGGGCTTCCTCTTCCACCTGCTCCCCCTTCTCGAAGCCTTCTCTCCCTGCCTCCCCTGGGCCGGGCGAGCGCTGGTTACCGCCCCTAGGGCAGCGGCCGCACGGTCCCGCTGCGGATTGCTGCGGCTCGAGCTCCTCCGTCCTGGACCTCCAGCGGCTTTCCCGTGGAGGGCGGCCGGTTTCCACGGCAACGGCCGCGTCACGGCCTCTCGCCCCGCCCTCTCTCAATCCAATCGTAGCTCCTCTGACAGACCACCTGGTTAGCAGGAACCCCGCGGAGGAAGGGGCTCGTGACAGCCCCGCTGTCAGTCCATCCAGGCGACCCGGCCTCAGGAGCGGAGGCAGTGGGCGTGGGCGGGGCGACCTCTCCTCCTCACCTCGAGGGATCGCGGGGTTAAGCTGGGAGAGATTGTTAGCCGAGTCCCCTCCCCTCCGACAGAACTGGGGTCACCGAGGGGCGTTGGCCTGGGTAGGATGGACGCTGACCACGATGGGGGTGAGCCCTGCGTGAAGTGGCGTGTGTGTATGTGTGGAGGGGGCCCAAGGGTCTGCAACACACGCGGCCAGGCCCCGAGCCCGATGCTTCCTCTCCTAGCCGTCTGGGACGTTCTGGTTTCCCGGCCCCAGGCCCTTTAACTAGTCCCCGCCTTCCCTTGACTCCTCCTCTCTTGCTTCGCTTTCCTTTGCCCCGCCTTTGCTCTGTCCCAGCCGCAATGACGTGCAGTGCCTCGTGCGTGGGGATTCCGTGGGCCTCGTCGGATTAGCCAGTGCACCCAGCGCCGGGGTGGAGGGAAGATGCTTTCCTTCCACGGCTTGTCTGGCGTTTGCTACAGAGCACCGCCTTCCTCAAGGGCCTTCTCGGTCTGAGCTTAAGGTGCACACGTGTCACCCTGGTGGTAAGGGAAGTATTAAGGGCAAAGGTGGGAACTAGAGGAACCTGAGGACCCTAATAACCAGGCAGCAGGTGTTGTTCAATCGTGTCCGACTCTTCATGACCCCATTGGGGGTTTTCCTGGCAAAGGTACTGCAGTGGTTTACCATTTCCTTCTCCAGTTCATTTTACTGATAAGGAAACTGAGGCAAACAGGGCTAAGTGACTTGCCCAGGCACACACAGCTTGTAAGTGTCTGAGGCCAGACTTGAACTCAGGAAGGAGCCAGAAAGACTCTGAACTTCCAGGCCCTGAACTCTATTCACTGCAGCAAAAAGTATGGGTGCAGACCCTGGAAGCACTTCCTAGCCCTAGAAGCAGCTAGTGTCACAGGAAGATGGAAAGCTGGGCCTGGAATCATCAAGTTACCAAGTTAAAATTCACCCTCAAGACACTAGCTGTGTTACCCAGGGCAAGTCAGTTAACCTGTTTACCTCGGTTTCCCCAGAGAGGATAAGACGATTAAATGATAATACTTACAAAGTACTTAGCATAGTGCCAGGCACTTAGTATGAATTAAATAAATGCTTATTCCCTTCCTTGTATCCTCAGATATCCTTTCACTGAACCTATTTATTCATTGTAATATAGAGCTTACTATATATCTTCTACTAACTTCAGTCAGGTATTGTGGGGCTCAAATGTGAAGGTGTTTTGTAACTGGAAGCAACATAAGTGTCAACTGTTATTACCATTATTCCCCAGAAAAAAATGCAGAGGTGGGGAAACCCAGAGAGGGAATGCTTTCTGGCTGGCTTCCCTAATAGTAAATGGGAAGCCCAGAGTTAGTATGACATTAATATTTCTGAACATGAGTTAGTATTGAAGACTATAAAGAGGAACTATATGGAAAGACTATAGAGCAGAACATAATAGTTTGCTCACTCAAAATCTCAGCAACATAGAAATCAGTTATCATCTTCTCCACTCAAGGCCACCTTCAAGTTGAGATGTGTTTTGGACACCATCTCTCAAAGGTTTTGGGTTAAAGGATGCAGAAAATGTCTCACCAGCTTATACTCAGGGGAAAACTAAAAATGCGCCACACCTGTACTACACTTTCTCTCCTCTTCAATTCCCATAGTAATTTAAATTGTTTCATTCCTGCATCTAGCACCCACTGCCCCTTAGCCATGTAGAAAATGTCTTTGTGCAGTTTTAAGCTATTAAGGGTAAATGGAAGAGTCCTAGCAAAAATTATCTAGACTGTGCCCAAGTGCAGTAGCCATACAAGAGGCTTTCCAATAATGATGCAGATGTAGATTCTGGGCTAGATGGGGTGGAAAATGAAAGCCTGGTATCTTTGTGTACATGTAGTATGGCATATGCTGGGAAAGGTTAGCTCCAGTTCCATGCTATATGCAAAGGAAACAACTTGTTTTGGAAAATTCTGCCAGTGTCAGATCTGTAAGACATTGCCATCCTACTTTGGGCCTGTCTACTGGTCAACTAGCCTAACCTTGTGTCTCTACCCTGATGTTGCTACTCAGTCTTCTGATCCCAGTGAGTTTACACATTTAGTGGCTGCTCCCTAGGCACTCCACCCCAGCTCCCCCAACCTCCACACCCTCCTCCCCAACACAAAAATTAATATGACTGGCTGAAAAGATGGGGATATTTTATAACCACCACCAGGAGAGGAAGGTGGTGATGGCACGCCAGGCCATTGGAATAGGAGCTCAATTTCCAGATCCCAATTAATCTTTTAATTACCAAGTCTATAATTAGCAAGATGGTACAGAGAGAATGAAAAGGGGGGAAGACAATGAGGGGGACCCAGAGGGCCCAACATACTTTCTGCCCTGGAAGGACAGCCCTGATAGTGGGCAAGGAGGTCCGGGCTACATACTCTTCAGAAGCTGAGAAGAGATGCAGGGATATTTGTGGGGGAACCGATAGCTCCACAGAAGCCCCAGCCCCCATCAAAAAGACACAGGTCACCAACACTGTCCTTTAATCCTCTTCCCCATGATGCTGTGGGGATCAGCAAGCTGAACTCGAGTGGAGGGCACATTCGAGAGGACCGGGATGGGGTCAGTGTGGCTGCAGAGTCAGGGCAACCACCTTGGCTGTGGCATTGAGCACAGCAATAGGAAGCCCAGCAACGGGAATGTCCCGAGGGACTCTCTGGATGGGGGGGATGTTGGGACCCTCGAGGGTGTCCAGGATCCCTGAGAAAAGGAAGAAAGGAGGTGAAGGCTGGGAAGGGACAGGGAACTTTTAACTGGCTTAGACTGGGGACAGATGCACAACCCGCCCTGAACATTCTCCCTGGACCCTGAAGGTCATCCTGAGGCACCTGGAACCCTGGGGGAATCTTTTCTTAAAGTCACAGTGTACTTGAACCCTCTGGGAAGTCTGTTTATGTCACCTGCACCAGGGCAGCACTGCACCCCACCTAACCTAGAGAGATGGTGGTGATCCTCCCTATTAGGGTGGAAGCTCCTTGACCAAAGATCTTGATCTTGCTCTTTTCCTTTGTATCCTCAATGCTCAGAACACAATAAATGCCTATTGATTGTTTCAAGAGTTCTTCAAGAGACAGCCTCAGGAAGTGGAGGAGCATGAGGGGAGGAGATGGGGTTAGAGCAGGGCCCCCCCTTCTCCCTCCTGTTCTGGAGCCAAACTAGAAAAAGGAGCCAATAATCTCAATAACTCTCCCCATCCTATCCCCTCCATGTCCATGACTTACCCTCGACAACTTTGTGGTAGGCAAAGTGCAGGTAGAGTAAGAAGAGCATGTGCAGGGTAGCAAGGGTCCCGCAGAGAAGCAGTCGCTGTGTGGGACCCACTGTCCTTGACACCAGCACCGCCACCTGGGGCCACAAAGGATGTCACAGTTCAAATAAACTCGGCCCATCCTGGGGCAAACCACTGTGGGCAGGAAGGACAGCTGGGGGGCTGGTGGGGAGCTATCTCTACACATACTCATGTCTACAACCTTAGTGGGCTGGGGTGGGGGTGGGGGGAGAATCCACCTACTCATGAGACACACTTCGATTTATGCCCACACTTGGGCTTCCTCTCAAACCCCTCAGCCCCTACAATTCCTCTCCCCACTCACCATGCGCAGGGTGGACAACCCACCCACCAACAGCCAGAAGAGATAGAAGAGGGCATGGAGATGGATATTGTAGGTGACGAAGAGAACAATGCAATGTCCAAAGAGTCCGTAGCCCTGAGGGATGAGGAAAGGAGATGGCATCTGGTGGCAGGCTTGGGGAACCTCCCAACTCCATCTAGAGGACACCTCCCAGTCAGGCCCTGGCCTGCTAAGGGTGAGTGCTAGAGAGGCTGCTCTGTCTGCTGCTAGCCCCCCACCGGGCCCTCTTACCAGCAGTGCCAGCATCTGGAGCATGGTGATCTGTGAATTACACAGGTAAGCCAAGAAGTAAATGAAGGATGAGACTCCCAGCCAGTAGCCAAAGCAGGTGCCAATGGCAGTGCCCATCAGGGTACCTTCCCGCTGGTGTAGGGGAAGAAGAAGGGGAAGACCAATTTAACCATACAAGGCCTCCCCTTCCCACTCTCACCTCCCTCACCGTTTTCCTCAAGAGTCTGAGTCCCATTCATTCACCTCTCCTGAAGCCACCATTTACCCTTTGTCCCAGTGTTTGAACACTTCATCTACAATACCCAAGTATAGGCCCTAGAGCTCAGCAGGACAACCCTGGAGAACTTCTCCATTAGCTTCTGCTTACGATAATGGTATCAGACGTCTTCATCCCATGTAGGAGAATGGCAACCAGGGTGAACACCAGCATAAGAGGCCCATAGAGTTCGCCAGCAATTTTCTGTGAAGACACTAGCTCAGCTTGTGATGTTCAAATGACTGACTGCCTTCCCTCCCAGGCCCCTAACACTTATCTGGGAGCCCTTTGCCCTGAGTCCTGGGCTAGGTTTCCCACCCCACCTTTCAGTGGCTGTGCCCAGGCCTTCCCAGCCTCAGCACATTCAAACCACTGCTCCTTCCTGGGCCATCATTTTCTACTTGGGAACATTTCTGGGGACATCGAGTGACAACAGGGATCATTATCACTTACCTGGGGAAAGTTGACCATCTTGACAGGGATCATGGACTCCAGAAGCCTATAAGATAGGAAGTATAAGAGCAGGGCAGGGTTGGGCAGGGTAACTTTTTCTAGGATGGATCTCTTTCTTCCACTATGAGCTGTCACAAAGAAGGGAAAGTCTTCGTGGATGATTGGGCCAATTGGAAATAAGGAGATCTTGGAGAGGGCTAGCTGGGGGATCGGGAGATTATGGACTTCATGAAAGTATGTTTATGTTACTCGGGGTGAGGGTGGGGTCTAATGTTACTGAGAAATGATTTTCCTGTTTCCCGTTTCCCCTAGACCAGAGGTGGGGAACCTTCAGCCTCGAGGCCATATGTGGCCCTCTAGGGCCACAAAGTTTGGATTCAGTCAAAGGGCTGCACTTGAGGACCTAGAGGGCCACATATGGCCTCAAGGCTGAAGGTTCCCCACCCCTGCTAGGATTACTGAATTTAGAGTTGAAAGGCACAAGGTAGTTCAAAACTTTCATTTTATGGATAAATAAAAAGGCTCGAGAGTCTAAAAGACTGGTTTCAAGATAACAGTCATACCTTTATGTCATGATTACAGTTTATAAAACACAACAGAACAGTCCTATAAATAGGCATGGCAAGTATTATCCCTATTTTGCCAATTAGGAAACTGAGGCTCAGAGAAGTAAAGTGACTTACCCCAAATCTCAGAACTACTCAGTATAAAAGCCTAGATTTGAACCCAGGTGCTCTTTCCACACAGTCTCAACATTCTATGTTATTGAATATTAATTATGTTCAAGTCAATATGTTAAGTATTGGAGAGAGAAAGAGAGGTAAGATACAGGCACTCATCTTAGGGGGCTGAGAGAAAGGCTAAGCACATTAATGACTGTGATAGAAAGGGAAGAAGAGGCAGGAGAGATGAAAACACCCCACCTTTCTCCTCTTAGAACTTGTGTGTTCTTGTGAAGAACTATGTAGAGCATGACCTTCACAGGAGCCTGGCCCGAAGCCTGTAGAATGAAAGACCCTCCCACCCCCAGGGCTTGGCCAAGGAGTCTGTGTTTTGGGGATCAGGGAAGCAGAGAGCATGGCTGCTGTTGTGGGCCTGGCCCAGGTTGGGGAGAAGAAAACTCTTACCGGCTTCGTACTTGGGCAGGTTCCACATCAAAGTAAGGCCTGAGGATGTCGATATTAGCATAGAGGCTGAAGGCCTTGGAGGCCTGTCTCTTCCCTGCCTGCCACATCTGAGAGAAAGAGAAAAAGAAGGTGACCCACTGAGATCCTACTTTGGTTTCTAGAAACTAGCTCTAGGCTCTAGGCCTTTTTCTCCATGGAAAAAGTTGCAGGTATCTTCCAGAACAGGAGATATTCCTGTTTGTCTGGCATGATACATCCCGCTTGAAGATGGGGACACAAATAGAATAGCTTGGACAGAACGTTGCTTCTCCTTAGCCCACTAGAAGCTCAGTACTGCTTACTTGATCAGCCACCTGTCGACTCAGCTGTCCCTTGAAACCTTTCATCCCCAGGAATTCTCCATCCTCCTCCTCAGCAGCAGCTGCATCAGCGTCCACCTCTTCTTCGCGGAGCCGCTGGTGCAGCTCCCCCATATCTTCAAAGCTAGATCCTGATGTGTCATCCATGTTTTCCATGTCAATCACTGCTGAGCCTCCACCCTGTCGGGTCAAAGGAATAGTCTGTATCTGATTCAGACTGCATCTACCTGGTACTCGAATATCATCAGTACTCTCTACCATTCTGATTGGTCCTATGACTGGAAGGCAGGGCCATGGGCTCCAGGGCTCCTATTTAAAGGGGTGAGAGATGTGTTTTTCTCCCTGTTCCCCACCAGCTAACTACTTTGGGACTTCACCTCAGGTATCTCTCTCTGTTGTCAGCTTTTCTGTGTTGCCTTTCTCTATTAGATTATGAGTTCCTTGAGGACAGGAACTGTGTTCATTTTTATCTGTATCCACAGTGCTGTGCTAAGTGCTTAATAAATATTTAATAAAAGGCTGATCTTTCTGATCCATCCATTCAGCTCACTAACACTGTTCCTTTTTCCCTTATCTGAAGATTGGAATTGTAAGTGGAGTGAGGAAGGGGCTTTATCCCTCAGTTGTTAGACTTTGTGGTTTTCCTAAAACGTAGATTTAATTATGACTCTGAGTGTACACATGTATGTATATACGTACACACACACACACACATATACACACAGAGAACTGGCATTTCAATCCCTCCACAATCTGGTTCCACCCTCGTTTCCAGGCTTATTTCATATTATTCCCATTCATATACCCCTTAACAAGCAAACTGTCCTGCTAACTATTTCCACAGCAGTTATCTCTTGCCTTTATAACTTTTGCACAATGTTTCTCACACATGTTTGGTAGTCCTCCTTTACCTTCCGCTTGCTATACCTCCAGTTTCCTTCAAAACTCAAGTGAGGTGCCACTTCCTTGATTCTTTTTTCTACTCCCTTTAATTAAAATTACTTTTTATTTACAAAACCTGTAAATATATTCTTAACCTCCCTCACCCTCCCTCACACCCAGTAGAATGAAATTTTGTGAGGACAGAGACTATCATTTTCTTCTCTGTGTCCCTAATGCCTAGGGCAGTGGCTCGCACTTAAAATAAATATTTTATCCGAAATTAATCTTCCTGTCTCTCAATTCTAGCCGTTTGCTGTAAAATTTTGAGATTTTCAGACTCAGGCTCTACATTCTAGCTAGACAAAACCACTTCTTGTCCTCTACTCCTGTTTCTTTCTCTCCAATGAGGGCAGAGAATGAGTTTCCCTGGAACATCATCTCCCCCAACCTCCCCCCACCCCCATCAACAAATAGAGGCAAAGAGTCTCCCTTATCAGATCAAATGCTCTCCTATTGCCTAAGTTCCAACCAAATTTGGGATTCCAGATACATTCTTTGTATGTTTCCCCGCATGGAGAAGTATTCTCCACATCTGGAATGCTGTCCCTTCCACTTGATTGATATCCTTCAAGGTCCAGCTTAAATGCTGCCTCTTATCAAATGCTTTCTGATCTCCCCCCGCCCCATCTTTATTTCTTCTTGAAATTACTTTATATTTACTTAATTTGTACTGTCCTCTACCCCAAATAAAGCTTTTTCTATATTAGCTATTTCTCTTTCAGCTAGAATCTTTCATGGATCGAATTTTTCCCTCTACCAAGACATTTATCACAGTTCCTTAAGTGCAAATACTGAATTTTGAAGTTCTCTTAATTTCCCCGAGTGTGTAGTAAAGGTTCCATAAAAATTTGTCGAAGGAGTGAATTAATCTTCCTGAGTGGGCCAATCTGAGGCTCTGGAGGCCAACCCACTCCTTCCCCGCTCTCTCAAATACAAGGTACATTCAGTCAATCCTGCTGATTGGCTACTGACTTTCCGGGTGGGTTGTCTCAAGCTCAAAGCCAGATTCTCTTTTTTCTCCAGCTCCACGAGGGCCTGGAGAAAAAAAAAGGGGGTGCTACCTAAGGAGCTGATTCAGGTTAGATGTGGAGATGAATTTTCTCGGCTCTTATTACTTTTATGGCCTTGAGAAAGTCGCTTTCCCTTTCTGGGACTCAGTTTGCTCTTCTGTAAAAACAAGGGCACTGGACTTGATGTGTACGCTCCCAACTCTAATTCCCAGGATCCGGCAGGGGACTGGAATGGGGAGGTCACAAACATGGAGAAAGACCCTGCGTTCTCAGAGGCCATAATGACCTCGCGAGGGATCTGTCGGCCTCCAGGTCGCCCAGTACGGGGAAAGGGGGGGCGGTCCTAGGGACATTACCTGGATATTCTCCTCGAAGCCTCCCCACTCGGGGGAGGCCCCATTCCGGGTACCTCCCGCCGGGGCCACCGGGCTTGCCATGTCCCTCGAAGGTTCCCGTCCCTCGGGCTCGCGCAGCTACTGCGCGAGTAGTGGGGGAGGGCCCAGCCCCCGGGAGTGAAGGTGGGGTGGGGGACACAGGCGTCCCCCCACCGTGGGATGCGGCAAGAGGAAGACGACCGGATGTTTAGGCGACTCCACCCGGAAGCTGTAGACGTGGAAACAAGCAGGTCCATTCTGTCTCGCGAGAGACCTAGGCGCCGCTTGTCGCCACGGCGACGAAGCGAGGAGGCTAGTACGTGTGCGCTGTGGGCGCACAGCAGTCACGTGGTGCTACGATGGCGGCCTCCGGAGCGGTGGAGGAGATGCGGAGCCGCGTGGTACTTGGAGAATTCGGGGTCCGAAACGTAAGGCTCGACTGACGAACAGGGCCGGGATCCGTGCGGAGGGCAGGGTCCCGACCTCTAGCCTCACGTGTACCTCTTTGCTCTAGGTTCATACCACGGACTTCCCGGGAAATTACTGCGGCTACGATGATACATGGGACCAGAGCCGCTTCGAGAAGGTGAGGGGAGGCCCGGTGGTGGTGGGGGAGCTGGTGAAGGTAGCATGGGGCCCAGTGGAGGCCTTCGGAGGGCAGGGGAAGGCGAGCCCGGGAAGGCGAGCCCTGGAAGCCGAAGGACCTGAATCCCCAGCCTGCACCTCAGAAGGGAATGCAGGTTAATCTTAGACCGATTTTACTCACTGAGCCATTGCGCCCCCTCCCCCAATCCTTTAAGGAATTCCGCGTGGATGTGGTGCACATGGATGAAAACTCGTTGGAATTTGATATGGTTGGAATTGATGCTGCTATTGCCAACGCTTTTCGGAGGATCTTACTAGCCGAGGTAGCGACGGTACTTACTCTTGTAATAGCAGGGGTGATAGTGACATTGTATTGTGGAGAGGGGGGGAGGAGGGAGGAGAAACCGAAAGGAAAGGAACCACTGTGTCATATCCACAGTGAACTACTCAGGCTCACTTTTTTGTAGTTTTGTGCATTTCCTCCTACTTGCTTATGCGTCTTTCCTCCCAGTTTTTTGTTTTTTTTTTTTTTGCAAAGTAGTAGTTACTAGAAACATAGGAAATGTTTCTTCCTAGGTGGAGGGGAAAAGAAGATCTATTGTGTTACATGTTTCTAAGGATCAGTATCATTTCCATATCCAGGTTCCAACCATGGCTGTGGAAAAAGTCTTCGTGTACAACAATACGTCTATTGTGCAGGATGAGATACTGGCCCATCGTTTGGGTCTCATTCCTATTCGTGCTGATCCTCGGCTTTTTGAGTACCGAAACCAAGGTAGGAGACTGGAAGTTTGTATAGGGTAGAGAGGGAGAGGTGAGTCCTATTAAATAACTGTTGCTCTATTTCACATGCAGGTGACGAAGTGGGTACTGAGATAGACACATTGCAGTTTCAGCTAAAGGTCAAGTGTACCCGTAATCCTCAAGCTGCCAAAGACTCCTCTGATCCCAACGAACTTTATCTCAATCACAAGGGTGAGTGGTGACAGGGTCAGGAAACAAAGGTACAAATCCAGCTCCCTTACTTCTATGATCTTAGGTAAAAATTCAGTTGAACTGTATTGTCCTTTACAGGTGTAAATCTGGTGATGCTTTTGGGGAAACCAGAGGAGCATCTGCCACTATTACTAGATCACAAATTAAGAGCTAGAAATGACCATAGAGGCCATGTAGGACCTCAGTAACACTTCCTTCCAAATTTTGCCCCAATTCTTTCCCAGGAATTGACATGTGTTTTTGTCATTTCCTGTAGTATACACAAAACACATGACATGGATACCCCTGGGAAACCAAGCAGATGTTTTCCCAGAAGGCACCATTCGTCCTGTGCATGATGACATCCTTATTGCTCAGCTACGTCCTGGCCAAGAGCTTGACCTACTCATGCATTGCGTCAAAGGCATTGGTAAGGATTGTTGGGTGCTAGTCTAGCTATATTAGGTTTGGGGGGGTGGTCCAAAAATTTTTGAATTGGAAATGCTAACTTATCAAGGTGTAGCTTAAAGTATGGAAGATAAGGGGGTTGATAACTGTGTCTTTGCTTTTCCTCTCCAGGCAAAGACCATGCAAAATTTTCTCCTGTAGCCACTGCCAGTTATAGACTGTTGCCAGATATCACTCTACTCCAGCCAGTAGAGGGGGAAGCAGCTGAGGAGCTGAGTCGATGCTTTTCACCTGGTGTCATTCAGGTGCAAGACGTCAAAGGTATCTGTAGAAAGGGATGTTCACATCCTCATGTCTTAGAAACCTTGAAGATACTTCTCAGTTGCCACATATTCTTAACTGTTCTTTATCAGAATTCTTAAATTTATAGCATCTTACTCAGCAGGTACCTGATGATTGTTGTATTGTTCCCTTCTAACCATAACATCCTGCTTTGGAACATTTATGAAGCCTGCTTACAAGCTGTTGATCACAGATAATTCAGTTGAAGTCCTTAGAAATCTGATTATACTCATGTGTTTCATTAAACCAATTTTGCCTCTTCTGACAGAACCAGTAATCTGGTTTATTTCATCAGGGAAAAAAGTAGCCACAGTTGCCAATCCCCGTCTGGATACCTTCAGCCGAGAGATCTTTCGGCATGAAAACCTTAAGAAGTTGGTGCGGCTGGCCCGAGTACGGGATCACTACATATGTGAGTATTAGGGGGAGGGGAAGTATAAGTGGTATGGGAATAGACTGAAAACCCACACTCCTATCCCACACCCTAGTAAAAAGACTTCCTTTTCTCAGCCCTGTAGCTGAATGCTGTGTATTGTCTCCTGTAATTGAGCTTTTTACATGTAGGCTGTCTCTTTATTATTTGTATTCCTAGCTTGCATAGTAAGTTCTTAAATGTTTTTACATTACAGTCTCAGTGGAATCGACAGGTGTCTTGCCCCCTGAGGTCCTAGTGGGTGAAGCCATCAAAGTTCTAATGGGAAAATGTCGGCGCTTCGTGGATGAATTGGATTCAGTTCAGATGGACTGAATTATCTTATAACAACTTAGTGGGGACAACACCTGGCTGGCAAGATGGCTCACTTTGTGGGGATACCCCACTCTATCCACAAACTCTGGGAATTGTCCCATGATTCCTGAATAGGCTGGCTCCCTAAAAGAACATCAGTGGGCATGGGGTTGGAGTCTTATAACACAGCCCGTCCTGATTGCTCTTTTGAAGTGTCAGCTGTACAATGAAAAGATTGGGTAAGCCAGTTACAACAGTATCTGGCTTTTACAGTGCATTCCCCAAGGCAGTGGGTAAAGCAGAGGAAGGACAACAACATAAAGAACAGCCTTGAAGTGCCATATGTAGTAGTAGTAATAGTATATGCTATGAGAAAGGCAGCTTGTATATTAAATTTGTGTATCAAACTCAGATTTTTTTACTCACATGCAGAAATGTGCCTCAGAGTTAATGTTTCTACAAAAAGGCTCTAAAAACAATTAAAAAAACTAGCATGAAATCACAAGATGTTAAAAAATATCACCACACAATAAATACAACTGTTCCCTTCATGGCCCCAACCACACACAAGTAAAGAGTTCCACTGAGGCAGTATTCAAAGCTAGAAGAAGGCATGTTTCAAAACTGGCTTTGTGGTCAACAGAAAAACCTAAAAATACAACAGAACGCTCGAGCGTGTGTGGAGGACAGCAAGTCTGTGCAGTACAGATAGATATTCTGGATTTGTAACCCCTTCTCCCAGCTTTCCCTTGTTCTTATCTAACCTATGGGTCCATGAACTATAGAATCCTCTTGCCAAAAACACTTCCAGCTCATTTTTGTCATAACCCTACAATGGGATTTTCAAAACTGGGTAGTTCTCATGATCCCTGACTGAATGGTGGTATTTATAAGGAAAAAGTCCTGTAGGCAGTTGGAACTTCAGAAGCCATGAACTTATTTAAAGGCACCTGAACTAGGTTACATGGGAACCAAGCCACAAGGGCCAAGTCATGGGAGAAAAAGCCAATGGGCTTAGCTCTTAGGAATAGATGTTGCCTAATTCTGTCAATAACCTTGGATGCCCATAAAGCACCTGAGCATCAAGTGAACAAGTTAGGGATTGTGGCTTTTGCTCCTGAGGAACCCTTGCTAATGAGGGAATGAAGTTTACTAGTCATTAATGATGACTAGTAGATGTCATCTCATTAGTAACGAGGAGGTTTTCCTCAGCATAGAAAAGGCAAGGGCCCTGAGGTGAGGACCCAGGTTTGGCGAAGTCTCTGAAGGGATCTTGTTCTTGGTCTCAGTCACTTGTAGACAGTCCATGCACTTCACTTGCTATCCTCCCAACCCAGCAACAAAACAGGTCTGCCTCCCATCCCCCCTTCCCTCAGCACGTGGGTTGAAGTTGCCAAGAAAAGGTGTATGTACCAGTCTCTGTGCCTGTAGTGCAGCCACAAACCAGTGGCAGTACTAGGACTTGCTGAGTTTAGATGAAACACACACCCCAACCCCATATTCTACATATGGTGCAAAGAAGGTACTTGGAAAGGGAAAAGGGAAAAATGACAACAAGGAACTACAGTTCTGCTCATGGCTTCTCTTGAAAATGCTCAGATATGGAGCTCTGAGTGGGTTAGGAAACATCTTGGGAGAACTAGACAGAATAACATAAGTCCTAACTCCCTTGAAAATGACACCAATGTAATTGCTTCTGGCTTCTTCTTGGAGCCAGTTATTGGCTCTCCATCCCCAAGCCTGGTTCTTTCTCCAGGTCAGCACTGGAAGAGGAGGCAGTGGAGACAGAGCTACAGGTTAGCTATGAAGGGGAAGGAGAAGAGATGACAAAGAAGGCCTGGGAAAATTGTTCAGATGGCCACATCAGGGTTCAAAGATGGTGCTCAAGCATCCATCCTCATTTTCCAGCACATCACATTCCAGCAACGGCTTTGGTTTTTTGAAGAGCGATGGGAGATTCTTAATGTGAACCTCCTTACGGAACTGTTCTCCTAGAGGTTTCTGTAAGAAACAAGCAAGACTATTATGAAAACCTGAACAGTGAGGCCTCCCTTCTCTGCAAATGGAAAGCTCCATCCATTCTTTTATATTTAGTGACAGACAATTCCTCTATATCTTGGTAAGGCTAGTTGGAAGCTGCCCTTTTATATTTGTATTTTAATACCTAATGGTTTCAAGAAAAGGGAACAGATTCTGTGTTATTCATAGGGTAATAATAAGCTGGTTCCAAGTTGAGGCTTACCCCAATACAACCAGCAATGAGGCGTTTGAAGTGATCCTTTCTGCGCTTGTCAGTAATTTTCTGCAGTGTTGGGTTCAGTAGCTTGCAGTCAAACTGGTCCAGAGATTCCTTCTGTATTTCTGGGATCTGTTCCATAACAGCTCTCACTTCCAGGTATCTGGGGCGCTAAAAGAGGGTCAGATCTACTGAGAAGGATAGGTTTAGGCATCCCTGGGCTTCTAAGTATTAGATGAGAATAACTTTGGCCACATGCCAAGAGTCTCAAGAATGACAACTCGAAAGGCACCAGGAGCAAACTGGCAGATTCTATTCTAGTGTACCTACCAATGCCTCATATATCTGGAAGGCCAAGTGGACAAGTGCAGCCATACAGCCATCATGTTGCCCATGCATCTGCAAACCCTTTAACACACTGGTGAAAAACCATGTTACTGCATCAGACAGGAGTGTTCCTGAGAGTACCTGAGGGAACAAACTGTGTCAGTACCAAATTTTTCCCCTCAAGCTTCCCATGTATGCTAAGAAAATTGCTTAGAAATGACCAACCTGTCCAATGTCCTCATCTGACAAACAAGAAAATAGGCCCAGAGAGACTGACTTCTTCCAACAGGTAGAAAATGGCTATCAAATGACCTTGAATCTAGGACTCTAGGTCCTGAATCATAAACTCAGTCCTCTTTCCACTAAACTTTGCTAAGTCTCCACCCTCCTTTTAACCAACAATCCTTCGGTGATTCTGTTCCTAAAGAATCTGGGTGAAAAGAACTGGGAGAGGAACTCTACTTGTTTAAGCAGAGGCCAGCAGAGCTGGGTGGTGGTCCTCTGGCAAGACAAGGTGTCCTTCCAGGCTAGGGAAGTGAAGGCTGTGATGAGCAGTGCCGTGCACACGTCCTAAAGAAGGGAAGAAGAGTGAATGAGCTTTACTGAGGATTCTGTTTCTTTTCCTGTTCTATTAGGATTTGAAATCTTTGACAGAAGGGACTGAATGTGTGAGGCAATCTCATGAATGATTTCATTTTGTAAAGAGACAGAGCGCACTACCACCACTTCTGTCATTCACTTACCTCATGCTTCATCAGGCATTTGCCCAGGTCTGTGAGCTCAGCCATAGCTGAGGGGGCCACCTCTGTGCAAACCATCTCTTCATCTATGAACAAAAGACAAAGCAGTTAGTAGTCCACCATTCACAGAAGACTCCTCACATCTTGTTCTAAAGCAGTAGGTGAAAGCATGTCTAGAAAATTAGAGACCCCAATCTAAAGGATGATTAGAACCTCCTCCACTGATCTGACTCAGGTACAGCACCCCCTTTCCCTAGGAGACGAGTGCTAACTGCTGTCCTAGAGACACACTCTATTTGGAGTCAGAAGAAAGCTTGAAGGAAGTTCTCTGGATAGATGTCAGTTTGTTCTCTAGTGGGAGAGAATTGTATTGAACAGTAAGCTTCAAATGTTGGTGAAGCTTTATGTGTGGCCAGATCTATGACATAAGATCCTACATTAAGCTGCTAGAAAGACATTACAAATCTTATAAGCTATGCTACTGCATACAAGTCAAAGAGAAAGAAAGCTAAGAAATAAATTCCTCACTCACCCTCTCCATCAGCTGCGGTGTTGGTATTGGTGGTGGTGGTATTGGTAGCAGTATTGTGTTCAGCACTTTTCTTTGAAACACAGCAAACAGCTGTAAAGAATAGCCAAGTTATTACAGGGAAAAGAATTTGTACCGTAAAGGCACAGCTCCTCTGGGAGACAAAAACTCCTGTTCTAAAGCTGCTCATGGCCTATGGGATAGGGCAAGAGGGGGCATGTAGTATATTGCCTAAATATAAAAACAATTTTCTGGCCTAAGAAATTTAAGGCTGTGTTATAATATCTCTTCCCAAATTTAAGGCTTTGGAGGAAAACTCAGTCTTCTGAAAATCAATGCCTACAGAGCTCATTGTTTTCCTTGCCTTTAGGTGGGAATTCACTCAAAAATTTTCCAGAGAGATTATACAGTTTTCCTTGCTCATATCCTTGAGGTTTTCCTCCTGACAAATCCCTCTCTATTGTCTAACACAAACTCTTTCAGCTCTAATTTCTTCTCTTATGCTGTCCTTAGTGTGATAAAAGTAGTTTATCATGTTACAGATCTGATGTTCATTAACTACCCCACTTTAATCTTTTAATTTTAAATCAACCAGCATTTCCTGAGTATGTGCTCAGGACTGACTTTACCTAGTAGGACTGGCTGGGTCAAGAGGTCCTGAGATAATGGGTGAGATAATTTATATCTGAAATAATGGAAAAGTATTCCATGGAAAATCTGTACTTTGAAATGCTAACACTTAATCATAAGAATTTGGTCTTCCCTAAAATTTTCTTCTTACTTTGTTCTTTCTGTTACTTACTAATCAGGTCCATGACTTCACGAGTAAGCAGCCTCACTAGTTGTTCTTCCAACATCTCTTGAGACTCTGGATTTTCATCTGCAGTCTCTTCTTCACCGCTGGAGAAAGCCAAAAGTTAGATAACACTGGAGGAGTTGTTAGGGTAAAGGGGGAAAGGTTTGGGAATCAGGTGGAAAAGCTAGCTATGGCTCCAAATGATCTAGTACAACACATGCTACTCTGAAAGTCAAAGTGGGAGGAATGATGCATCTGAAAGTCATCCAAGGCATCAAAATCCCATTCACTTATGAGGGTTTAATCAGAATGTCAGCCTACTGATCTTTCCCTTCCCACCTGGGACATCTGAGCAAACACTGCATTATTCCCCAAGAATGGTCCCAACTCCAGCTTTAGCTGATGTACTGGCTATCCCAGCTAGGGCAGCAGGGCTTCTTGTCTACTGAACTCTGTGCAGAAAGGTTTCTTACCATAGTAAACTCCTCTGGTTGATGACTTGCCATTTCTGGGAAAGCCTCTGGAAAACAGTGAGGGGATAAAAAGAAACAGCTGGATATAATCTCCCACTTAAAAAAGGGTTAGGTGAGGTGGAAAGACTAGATACAGCACCACCATTCTATGGGTGGGGATGGTATGGAAGAAAGTCACTTAAGCTCCCTAGAAATCTGGTAGTTTGAAATAGTCTCCCTTCTCAAGCTGTTGACCAGGAAAAAACAAAAACAAAACTATCTGTAACAAATGAATGATATGGGTCTGATGTCTGAGATACAAAGAGAACAAATGCAATATGTAAGACCAATAGCCATTCTCCGAAGGATAAATTTGGTCAAATAATATGAATAAACAGTACTCAAAAGAAAGGCAAATTACTAACCATCGTGAAATTCTGCTCCAAATTACTAATAAGAGAAATGCAAATCAAAACCAATTCTAAGGTTGTTTGTTCCAGAAAATTGGCAAAAGTGACAAGAGATGAGAACTGTCAATGTTGGAAGGGCTGTAAAAAGGATGGGCACCTTATAAGGAGGAGCTGTGAACTGTTCATTCTGGGAAGTAATTTACAATTATGTAAGGAAGTGCATAAAATATCCATACCCTTTGGCCCTGAGATCCCATTGCTAGGCTTATATTCCAAAAAGATCAAATGCTTCAAAGTATTTACAGCAGCATTTTTTTGTGGGAGCAGAAAACAACAAACTAGAAACAAAGCAGATGCCTATCAATTGGGGAATGGGTAAACAAATTGTGAAAAATGAATGTAGTATTGTTTTATCATAAAAAACTATAAATATGAAGACTACAGAGAAGCATGGGAAGGATGTATATGAGCTGATGCAAGTGAAGTAAGCAGAACGAGAAAAACAACCCAATTACAAATAGAAAGAAAAATGAAATAAAAAGTAAATGAAAGAAAGTGAATTTTGTTTTCCCCTTTTAAAAATTCTTTGCACAAGGGATGGCTCTCTACAAGGGAGAGGCATATCTGAAAATGACTGTGTAAAAATAGAAGATTTTAAACAGATGTAATTCCCACACTTCTATTTCCATCAAACCCAGATAGCCATAACTGAGGCTTCTAAGACTGAATAGTGATGACAGGATATAGCTTGGAAAACCACTGCTCAATAATCAGCAGTTCATATGATCACTTTAATGGGAAGGGAACTTTAATTCTAAAGCCTTTAGACTACCAAGTACATTAATATTATACTCTTTGACAACAGCCTTGAGAAGGATAGCTGGATTTAAGATTCTACAAAGTCTAGCACAATATAGACTTTTAGGGTTCCTGGACTATCTTACTGTCATACTCCACAGCATCCCCTGCCTCCACATCAACCCAATTATCAGGAGAAACCTAAGACACAGGAAAAGGTAGCTAACTGCACAGGATTCACATAATCAACAGCAAAACTAAATTTGCATTCTAGGCTTTTTCACAGCATCCTGAACTAGACTTTATTACAGGGCTACTGTTTAATACAGCGAAAAGAAAAGACATTATGAGAAACTTTTGTCATAAATTCAAGGTCTAGAAGAACTTGAGGCTTTAAGGAATTCTTAACCTGAATGGTTTAGAGCAAGGATTTTCAATTTCCTTTTGATAATGCCCCCTCCCTTACCATATGCAGATAGGTGAACAGGGGTCCAAGGATGGGAGATACAAGGGCTTCATAATGCTCTGGAGGGCAAAACAGCACCAGAGGTTTCACAAAAACCCGTTAAGAAGGTAGGTTAAGGAGACTATAATATTCAAGGCACAGGTACACCCCTTAATACAGATACATACCTTTCCCAGATAATCTGAGACAGCCAGATGGCAGATCATAAAGATGTTCAGAAAGTCTGCCAATGGTTTTAAAGATGCCAAGGCCACTGTTTGGTGTTAGTTTTGTAAAACCTGTGGACTTGTCTCTTTCCCTAGCATGCTAACCTTTATGGCTGGCTGCTTAATCCTATTAGATTTCCAGATTGTATTATCTTCCAGAATGCTCACATTTCCAAGAGCTAAATTTCATACACTGTGAGAAAAAGGAGAAAGCATTTTTCCAATCAAGTTTTGCTTCCTATTTCCATTGGATCACAGTCCAGTATTAAAAACAGGATGAGAAAGTATCTGGATTGCAGGACAACTCAGATGGAAAGGATCCTGGAGGTCATTTAATCTAACCTCTCCTTTTACAGATGAGGAAACCATGCAGGTCAAATGTCCTGCTCAAAGAGAGTTATTAACAGAGAAGGGACTTGTACCCTGGTCTTAATTCCCAAATCCAGAGTTCTTTCCACCATATCATTCTGCCTGTCAATGAAGGGTAACTATGCCAGTATGAAATTGCTTTTCCACAGAAGCAGCACATGGGTAACTATAGAGCAATTAGGTAATCTAAGCCTGAGTCAAACCAATAAATCTGAGGGAAAAGGCCTAATCCTGAGAGACTGAACAAGATCTTTTAAGACTTGCCAGTCAGGTTCCAATTATACAAGAAACAGCTTTCAAGAATTCCCACGTCTCTTTTGTGATTTTCTTCTTTTGCTTTTGGGTTTCAATTAACTGTTCTCTTAGTGAAATTTTCACAAACCCAGATTATTACATCCCTCAGTCTATGCGGATTATTTCTTATTTTCCAACTCTTTTGGCAGATTCCAAAAGGATATGAAGCATGGGTCGGAGTCGGTAGTCAGGAATGCTATTCAAGTTGACAAAGGCAGAATTAAGAAGCTGGGTGGCAAGGTCTTCAACAGTGTAGAAGTCTTGCTGCATAGAAGAACCTGCTTTCCCTAGGATATGGAAACTACAAAAGAAAATCACCAGCAAATTCAGTACCCACCAATGCCAGTTCTTAATGCCCAAGAAATGTAAAAAATGTTATTTGCTCCTGCTTGCTTGAGACAAGGGTTGACTGCCTTCCAATTCCCCATTAATTAAAATGCAATGACTCTATAATGAAAATTGTCTCTGGAGAGTTGGTTATAGCATGTTGCAATTCAGGCTAAGGTTGTAGGGCAAATTTGCCACCTGGGCCAGTTAGCTGTTTGTTCCATAGCTAGAGAACCCTTGAATTCTAGCCAGCTTATATCCAGGTATGTCACTTGTCCTGAGAGGAAATACAGGAGAATGTGGATGATTCAGAGCAAATATGCCCCCCATATTAGAGAAGGAATAAGCATGAGATTCATAAGGAAATCATAAAACCAGAACCAGAAGTTCAACCTGTTGATGATGCTGCCTCATCTCCCTGGTACCCAAATGAACACAGATTAAATAACAACCCCCAGGCATTCTAAAACTAATGTGCCCATGAAAGGGAACAGTGAGAAACAGAATAGAGAGAGGTTAACATCAGTCTCTTACCAGTTCTCATAAAGAGTGCAAAAGAAACCCTGCATTCGTTCCAAGACTGTTTTGTAGACAGGAGAGTCATAGAGTTCTAGGAGAGGCTGAGGAAGTCCTGGAGGGGAAAGATGATTTTGTTTTAGTTTTGGGTTTGTTTTTTTTTTTGTTTTAAATCAGACAAGATGTACCCTCACCCTTCTACCCTCAAGGGAGAACATGGAAAACAAAAATTACAATCATGTAATCAATCAAAACAAATTTCCACACTGGCCCTGTCCTAAAAAGCACTTGTCTCCTTCTGTTTTCTGAGTCCTTCAATCTTCTCTATTAGAAAGTAGGTAGCATGTTTCCTCATCAGTTCTCCAGAATCATCGTTGGTCTGGTTATGCTGAAAGGAGTTCAGCACAATACCATTCCATTCCATTTATACACTATAACCTGTTCATCTACCCCACAATTTATGGTTACTTTCTTGGAATTTCATTCTTTGCCACCTCAAGAAGCTATACATATTTTTGTACATCCTCAGAGTTTGTTTCGCTAACCCTCAATCTACTCTTCCCCTAATTCCCCCTTCTCACTTCTCCCCTTTCCCTCTGACCAGTTAAGATGAGGATGAGATTCAAATGTCAACTGCTCCCTCCCACCCTCCTTCCTTCTTGTTTTATAGATGTCTACTTGTACATCTTGATTACATAAGATAATTTTCCTAACTGTCCTTTTCTTTCCCTCTACCTCAATATATTCCTTGTTGTCTCTCTTCTTACTCTTTTCTTAAGATCATCAAGACGTAACAGAACCACTCCTGGGCCTTGTCTAACTGGACCCTCTCTATAAACCCTGTTAATGACAGGGTTCAGACACATGCATCATCTCCCCATATCTGAATGTAAGCAGTTTATTCTTGTTTAATCCCTTATCATTGGTCATTCACGATTACTTTTTAAGGTTTCTCTGCACTCTTGTGCTTAGATTGCAAAGTTTCTATGCAGCATCATTCTCATCAGAAATATTTGGGAGTTCTCTATTTCATTAAAGGTTAATATCCCCCCTGAAGCATCATACTCAGTTTGGGGTAAGTTATTCTTGGCTGTGAGCCCATGTTATCCTTCACCTTCTGAAACCTTATATTCCACCTTCTCCACTGCTTCACAATGGTGGCTAATCCTGATTGTGGCTTCTTAGTACTTGAATTCTATCTTTCTGGATGGTTCTGATATTTTTTCTTTGTCCCGGAAATTCTGGTCTAAAATGTTCCTGGGAATTTTTTGGTCATGGTGTTCAACTGCTCCAATGATTTATTTTTTCTCCTTGATCTGTTTTCTAGGTCGGTTATTTCTCCTATGAAATATTTATATTTTCTTCTATTTTTTTCAACCTTTTGACTTTTAATATTTTAAATATTTCTCCTTGCCTCAGGACATCACTAGTTTCTATTTAGTCTGTTCAAATTTTCAAGAAGTTTGTTTCTTGGGCAAGGTTTTGCACCTCTTGTGCCAAGCTATTCTTAGTCTTTTCCAATTGTTTCTTCCATAGTTCTCATTTCTTATTCAATATTTTCCTCAAAGACTTGCATTCTATTTATTAAAAATATTTTTAACTCCTTTTTCTAAACTCTTGCTTCATTTTTTTCAGAAATTAATTTAGTTTATACCCAAACTGTTTTACTCTAAGGCGTTGCTTATAGATGTTTTGGAGTCATTCTCTTCTTCTGAGCATCCCTGCCACCATAATAGCTCCCTATGTGGTTTTTTTCTTCCCATTCTTCCAGACTACTTCCTTATTTTGGACTTGATATCAGGGGTGGGCTCTGCAGAACTTCTGGAAGGAAGAATAGGGTCTAGGCTGGCCCTGTTACTACTTTCTTGGGATTTTGAGTGTTGTATTATTTCAGGATCTCAGGGCCAGGTTGGAGATCTTGAAGCTTTCAGTGATTTGACATAGGGCAAACTCTGATTTGCTGCCTCCCTGGTTTGAACTCTGCAAGGTCTTGACATGGGTTTAGATCTGAACAAAAGCAGATGCTGCTGAACTCAGCCCATCAGCTGGTTGGAAAGCTCTGCTGCCTCAGTGTGACAGAATCATAGGTTCCTCCTTGGTTTGGGATTTCTGCCCTAGCTATTGCTCTGCAGGCTGAGGTAGAAAATGCTCCTGGGGTCTAAGTCACACTGCTGCTGCTAACTTCTGAAGTTTCTCCTTTCTTTGTATAACAACCAGGGCTTCCTCTATGCTCTTTGTAGGTCTCCTTCTCATTCTACCCTGGACCTGTGACCCAGAACTGTTAAATGAGTGACAAAACTTCCAGTTAACACTTGTCCCGGTTGGGGTCTGGGGGTCCCCAAATATCCACGTGAGACCTCTTTTTGGGCTGGTATGCAGCCTTTCCCGGGATGCTGGAGTGCTCTGCTGTTGGGACTTCTGTCCCAAACCTGTTCCCAGTGTCTGCAGACCTCTCTGTCTTCCTATATTGACTTGGGTCAGAAAAAGGACTCACTGTGACTTTTTCTGTCTTTCTCCATCAGGATTAAGTCTGGTACGTTTTATAGATGTTTGGCGTTGTTGATGGGAGCTTAGCTGCATTGCTTCCTTCTACTTTGTCATCTTGACTTTCCCCAGAAGACTGTTGAGGTACACATTGTTCTACCACTAACCAATGAAAATCATAGTGCACAATATGGGAATGAAGTGGTCTGCACTGAGGGTTTAGATTGTCATGTGGCTGGCCAAGACTTTAAACTGCTTTGAAACTTAAGTAGTTTCTCTTGAAGACTTGAGAGAGATGTGAAGAAATATACCAGCCACTTACATTGGTTAGTAATATACTTCTTCTACAGCACTCAGGACCACCAAAACCATAGTTGTTTGGTGCTCTATTTTACTTGGAATAAAATGTCTCCAAATTCACATTTTATTCCTGACCTAATGGAGCTTTTACTGAAATGGAGAACAGCAAATTGCTCATCATGCAGGGATATTTAAACATATCAAAGCCTTTTAAAAACACTTTTGTGTTTATTGATAAAGGGTATGGTTCCTTTAAAAGTGCCAGTTTGCATTAGAAGGCTACTAGTAGAAAGAAGTGACTATATTCTTATTACCAGTAACTCCTCGGGAAAACTAAAAAGATCAAGCAAAATGGAAATATACTTCCATTTCAGTGGATAAAGAAAAGGTTTTTACTGATATATTCTGATATATAGCTCTCTCTTCAGGGTTCTTCATGCTGGGCAAAATTAAAGGATAAAGGTATTGAAATGGCAGTTCTGGCTAATGGATAACACTGGACAGGCAAAACTAACACTTTTCCCCTTGAATTGCTTGACTAGTTTAGCCTTACCCACTGTTTTTTCCAACATATCTTATGTTGCCTGGTAGAGCTGAGCATGTCTTCTAATCAAGCTTGGGAAAGGTTTTGGGTATACTAAGATTCTGTATTATTAAAAAAAAAAATAAAATCAAGTCCAGGATTAGTGAGAAAGGTACACTTGAATTTCTTTAAATTAAAAAAAAAAAAGCTGCTCTAGACGCCTGTATTTCAATCCACTTGAGAACCAAGCAAAGAAAAATTTTTGCCTGAAAGAGTATATAGCAATTACCAAAAAGGCACTGATACTTAGTTTCACTAGCTTAACTCATAAACTGAGAGGCTATTATAGGACCTTGGCCTGAGAAATTAATACAACTTGTAACTCAATCACGTGCTGTTCAGCTTAGGTAGTCCATTTGGTCTAAGTGACTGCTCAGACTTTGTATGTCTTGCATTTCCTAGTGTCCCTTGAACATCCAGGTTACTAGTGAAAATTATCAGCAGCCAGACACCAAAGTAAGTGCCTGTGGGTATCTTTTTTTTTTTAGAGACAATCGGGGTTAAGGGTGAGGGGGGTCACATAGCTATTAAGTGTCAGGTGTCCGAGGCTGGATTTGAATTCAACTCCTCCTGACTCCAAGGCCGGAGCTCTATCCACTGTGCCACCTAGCTGCCCCCGCCTGTGGGTATCTTAAAGAAAAAGCTGCTATAAAAGTATTAAGTGTACCACTGGTCAAATAAATTCAAATACTGAAAAGAGAGAGAGCTTTGTATTTTACATAAATACTTCATGTTTATAAACTTTTATTAATAGATTATATCATTTCATCTTCTATTTATACAAAAGCAAACTAATTTTTTAGTTTAAACAGTCTAGAGATTAAACACCCTTACTTATTTTATGTGGCATACTCTTGTTAACTGGTGGTAGAATACCAAAATCACAGAGGTAGCAAGGGGAAAACTGGATCTTCTTAAGGTTGAATTTGTAATACATAAGTGATGAAGTGACAGTATGTATCACTTGATCAATCCACTACCCAGAAAGCGTGTGCTACATATGGGGTGACAGCTACTACAGGAATAACAAATTCTTACAATCATGCTGTATTTAGTATAATCCTCATTTTACAGATGAGAAAACTGACTGTCAGGTTAAATAGTAACAGCATCAACAACAGATTTTACCCTCATAATAACCTTGCAAGACGGGCACTGCAGGTATTATCATCTCCATTTTAAAAATAAGTAAACTGAGGAACATTTTCTACCAGCTTTTGGATTTCTCTGGACCTCTTCATCCTGCTTTCCTTCCCCAGGAAACTTATCACTAGGAAATCTCATTATGTTGCCAGATTGAATCTCCCTGGTACTCCACCTCATTGTTAAATATTTCTGCCTCTGACCTTATGACTGGAGGGCAGGACCATGGCTCCAGAGCCTCTATTTAAGGAGGGGGTTCAGGACAATCTTCTCCTCATTTACCATCAGTTATTTTGCTTTTGAATTTCGCCAGAACTCTCCATCATGTCCCTGTACAGGTACCTTAACCTCCCTTGCCACCCACTTCTCACCTTCCTTTTGTGCATCATCTTCCTTTATTAGACTCTTAGCTCCTTGAAAGGAGAGACTGTCTTTGTTTTTATTTGTTTTTGTATCCTCAGTGCACAGCATACTGCTTGGCACATAGGTGCTTAATTATTGTTTATTGAATACTGACCAGGAACAGAGATATTAAGTAACCTGTCAGGGTCATAGAACTAATAATATCCAGCCTAGGTCTTTGTGGCTCCAAGTCTGATTCTCTTTTTTACTACAATATACCATGTGGGTATAACAAGAGCATAGTAGGATGTTAGTGTTGCAGGAACCAGACACATCAAGCTGGTCAAACTGCTTTAGATGCACACTCCTAGAAATTCTTAAGAGTAGGGGAGAAGAGACTGGGAAAATTGAACTTCCTGTAGGAAATGAAAAGTTTCTTACCCAAGATAGCATTCTTTTCTACTTCGAGCATATCCAAAGCCTTTGAGAAATTATCTCCCAGTTTAGCCAGTACCTCTGGTGTATACAAAGTATTGTGGGTTCTGAAAGAGAGAAGCTGCTTTATATATATATCTATATATCTATATATGTGTGTGTTTCCCCCAATCTGACATGGAAGAGGGAAGATAACAGAGTTATCTTTGTGCTGTGCCATCAGCCTCCTTTTCCCAAACTGGTATGCAGGTGGAGATGTTCTTAAGACTTCTCTTAACAGGGGACAGGAAAGAAAGCACAAAGTAACCTGAGTTGTTCTTCAGAAAAAGAGTTCAGAATGGAAGCCTGGAACTCTGCCACAGAGTAAAAGCATATGAAATGTGGAACCAAGGAAAAGGAAGGTAGCCGTTAATCTAAAGAACACTCCTGCAGGGCAACCTCTGCACCAGAGCTGGGAGATGATTTTTTTCCCCCCTCTTTTTTAGGCAACTGTGCTTAAGTGACTTGCCCAGGGTCACACAGCTAGCAAGTGTCTGAGGTCCTCCTGACTCCAGGGCTGGTGCTCTATCCACTGTACCACCTATCTTCCCTGAGATGACGTTTTCTTGAACCTAGAACAGACCTATTCCTGCTACTCCTAGAGATCTGAGTAGCCTAATAAACATCCCAGAACGAGGAAAGGAAGTAAAAAAGAATTGTCCAACTTTTTTACATCTTACACCTTCACTCCAACAAGTGGAGGTTGTCCTAACATCACCAGAGGCAAGGAGTCAGAATCCCTTGTTGCAACAATCACAAACAATTCTTCTTTGTTACTAGAAACATAAAGCTGTATTGTAGATATGGTCTTTCCTTAGCCCAATGGAGGATGCATTTTTCCATACTTTGAAACAAATTTCATCATATCACGTGGTTTCTTTGTTCAGCATCTGACATTATAGCCACATAATACTGTACAAAACCTCAATGTCAACCTAAATCAGAAATGAATACCAATGGGTAACACACACTACAAAACCACATTCTCATGCTGGTCAAAGAAGACTTTTCATTTAGGTAAGTCACAAAAGTCTCCAACGGTATTAGTCTTTACACATGCAGATTCTTACTCAAATGAGTTTGATCTTAGACAACTGGCACCTTGGGACTTAGGAAAATCCACCTGTTTCAGCAAGGTAAATTCTGTTGCTACTGCCTAGGAGTAGCATTAGGAGACTAGATACAAATAACATTCCCATTTGAAACTTTTTGGGTAGAAAAAATCTGGCAGTAGAATTATCAATGTCAAAAACCATCTGCCTGAGTCCTAAATAAACAGGGAAAGAAGCAAGTTGCTGCCAATTTCTGTCAAGACAAAGAAATTAATTGTCAGTAAATAATGTAAAAAGATCCCACACTATTGTCTCCAGTTCCAGTCTTCTTTACAAAAATATCATAGTCACTCTTTCCCCCTCTACTTCTGTCTTTCCCAAAACAGTGCTGTGAAGTACAGAGAGGGAAGATCTATGGACAGAGTTGAAAAGTTGTAGTTCTTGTTAAATCTATCATTTTCCCTCCCTCACTAAATGATTTTCCATTGAATAATATTCTCAGACTCAAAGGGCTGAGGAAAAGGCCAGAGATGGATAGTCAAGACAAAAATAGTCTTCTTACAGAGCTTCATCAGGCAAACTACTACACATGGCCTTATGCTGGTCTAGTGGGATAACTGATTCTTGAAATGGGAAGCCAGAAAGGCAGTTTTTGCTCACAATCTAAGCAATGACAACCCCAGGTATCTGCCCTGGAACCACCTAACAGAAGCCCAGTGGTCAGTTGGAAACTACCAAACACCAAGACACACCCCACTGACAATAAGAGGAAGTCCATGTATAAAACAGTTTAGTGGCTCTTCTCAGGTAAGGTCTTCTTAGTTTCAGCTAAATTCTGGATCAATGGCCTATGACAGGTGTACGGAGTAGAATTCAGATTTAAAGTCCAAGCAAAGTTCCCTGTGGAATAAAAGATGACTCAGCCCATGTTCCTGAAATTGAACTTGGTCCCTATAGTCTAAACAAACTAAGGCTGGTAGTTTTAGTGACACCATTCTGCTATATCCACTCCGCGTAAATAGCTTTTTCAATAGAGAGTCAAATCCTTGATAGTTCCCACTAGACCCAGCTTATCAGAAGCCAACCTCAACAGCCTAGGATAGGGAGCTAAACACTGAGGGGCAGTGGAGTGGAGAAATGGGAGAGGAAGACACAATGTTTCCCCTAGGATTGGGCCTACACTAAGGTCCCCCAAAGGCCAAAATGACTTACCTGAGTATATACTGGCTGTTTTTATGACCAAGAAATAGTGACTAGGAAGCTGTTTTGACCTGCCCTCCACAGCCTCCCTTCTCCTTCCCATGGCACATCAAAAACATCACACAGCAACCTATGGAGATGCGGGAGCATAGGCATTTACTCTTGAAAAGTCAGTGCAGTTTGCCATCTTTTTTCCTTCTGAATTACTTACAGTTTTCTCTTATTTGCTTCCATCTACATGTGGCTACTTCAGGAACATGTGCTGCTGCATGCTTTCTGCCCATATCAGTTCTTGAAGTAAGACCCAAAAAGATGCTAGAGACAGAGGTCTTTGGTTCTTATCTTCAAATTACATGTGATTACCATTCCCAGATTTCAGGAAGTGTAAAAATTACTGCATTAAAGTGGCAAATGTTATTGAAGTTACAAGGACCCTAGAGTTCTTCTATCACAATCTTTGCCCTTGCCGATCCAATAATCTTCATGCTAATGATGATGGTAATATCATTTCTACCTTTTTCACTCAAGTGCAATTACTCCAGGATTTTATCAGCACAGTTGCTCAAGGTCTCATAAATGGACTTCTAGGTTAGGGCAATGAGCACACTATTCACTTATATGAATTCTGAGCCTACCTTTTGCTGAATGCTTAGCACAGTGTCCCGAAAACAAGGAGGCATACTAAAGGATAGTCTTGTAATGAAGCTTCTAGATTATCAGAACAATTTCATAACCATGGCAACAACACCATTTGCTAACAAATGCTCTTCCCATCAGTAGTTACATATCTTTAACAAATAAAGCACCTTCAAGCATAAATTTAAATTTAGCACAAAAGAGTGTATTAGGATAAAAGTATGACTGATAAGATGAGCCTTTGGAAAACAAGAGAGTTCTGTATGAAAAGTCAAGCATCTCTCCAATTTTTACTATCTCCAACCAACTCACCAGCCAACAAGTCTGTTTCACCCTGAATTCCAAATAACCAACATAATAATAACTAACACATCTTATTCTATAGAGCTTAATGCCAACCTTCACCTTCTTCCCTGAACAAACTTAGAAGCAGGAGATATTGTCACTATCTTGGCTATTTACCCTTATCAAAATCCAAACCTGGTCTTTTTTTTTTTTTTTTTTAAACTATCATTCTTGCTTGGCCCCTTAGCACCACCCTGCACCCTCCTGAGGTAGAGAAAATTGCTGAATCAACATTTAATAAAGCGCCTACTCAAGTTAGAACTTTGGAGTTTCTAATAACACAGGAATCTGAGAACATCAAAGTGACATTCTGCAGCAACCTTGTATGTTTCCTTAACTTATTTCAACATTTACAGTTTGGGTTCTACCCACTGAACAGTACTGCTTTTCCTGCCTGCTTGCTTCCTCTTACCCAAATACTTGGGTTCCCTAGAAGTCTAGTAAGAGGAAGCATGAAGGGAATGATAACTGTTCTAAAGTTCCTGCTCTGTGAATTGTCACCATGCCATGACAAATGAATCTTTTATTGTTAAGAACACCAAGATGGCAATAATTTTTAGTCTACCAAATTTGTAATACACTCCTCACACCTCAGTCCTATGGCCCAATTCACAACCAACATTTCTTGTAGAACAACTTTTCTGGAAAGCAAGAGAACATGTTAACGCCCATCAATCCCCGATCTCTACCAGGTGCCCAGATATCTGACAAAGAATCTTTAATGCTGCTCTTCTTGACAAGATGAATGTGGGATACCAGGTGGACTACTTGAGACACAAGCATTTTGGATTGCCTGACTATGCAATGCTTTGGTCAGCAAAGGAACAAATAGGGTTGGTGCCTAGTCCCAAATTTTCAACATGGATGATACTGAAAGAAATAATTAGATGCCCAAATTCAACTCTGGACAAACGAGAACCGGATTCCTTTTCTCCTTTTGAAAAATTTCATTGTGATAGTTACCCCAAAGGCAGGAATTACATGATACCTGCAGTTTCCAAGCATACTTATTTATGACACATCTCTTTCTACTTGCTTCACAGATTAAATCATGAAGGGTGTTATAGGGAGCTGTCACAAAGACCTTTGATGCTTGATATTTACTAGCTGTGTGACGTGTCATTTAATCTCTCAGTGCCCCAGACAACTTTCTAATGCTCACAGTTTTGAGGCAGGTGCTGATTTGCAATATTAAAGGGAGTTTTAACACTGGAAGCACCCTACACAGATAACATCACAGGTTCAACTCAGCCTCCTCTTCCCCCGCCCCAGATCTCAGTAAATGAGATGAAAGATATAAACATCTCCATCAAGGGTCAACTTTCTTCTTTTCAGCTCAAAGTCAGTAGACAGATTTGGTACATTTGTAGTCATAGTAACTGTTATAGTCAATTCATATGAATTTCATTTAGAGAACCACAATGACAAAGCACAGATTGCTCAGGTGAGCAGTTACTTTAATGTGCATCGCTTATGTTCATGTCAAATGCAGCTCAAGGTGAAAGAAGAAATGAGGGTTGGGAAGGAGTGAAGAGAATAGCCATTTTGGAAGAAGCAGTATGGATTTCCTTCTACTCAACATCAAAACCAAGTCAAGTAAGAAATGAAGCATTTCTTTTCACCAGGATTTCACAAGTTCTGGGGTTACTTTAGGAAAAGGAAAATGTCAATAAAAAACCAGACTGGAACCAATCTAGGTGCCAGGACACAATCCCATTAATTCCAATGGAAGAACACATATTAAGGCCATGCAAACAAAGCTTTAAGTCAGAAAATGACCTATCAGCTTGACCCACCTTATAAGAGCGAGCAAATTGTCAAGAAGTTTCAGCACCTGCTCGGTGCAAGGGTTACGAAAGATTGGATTGCCACTTGGAGTATAGCCAACCACAAAACCTCCAGCCTTGGCCTCTTCCAGGTCTGTGGGCCAGCGAGCCCGTTTCACAACTCCCAGAATAGTGTATACACAAAAGCTTATCTATGGCAAAAAAAAAAAAAAAAAAAAAAGGAAAAAAGAAAAAAAAGATAAATAGAAGGCGAAAAATGAACAAAAATAACTCTTCTTAGCAAAGGCTTATTTAGTGCTTTGGCAAAAGCAGTATGAGGCCAGCGAGAAGGTGAAGATGTCCCCTCCACTTGCTCACTGGACCTTGTTCTCTTTAAGCTAGCAAAGCCCAAGGGGAGTCCTCCAGCCGCCCCTCTCCGGGCCGGTGGTAGCCTCTGGAAACCTGTTTACAAGCTTCCCCACCATGAGGATACCTTCCAGGGTATGCAACGACCCTTCCACAGGAGCTTATGACTGGAAGATGTCTTGGTGCTAGTCGTGCTGAGTCGAGTGTCTGCAGGATATGCTCTAAAAGGAAGTGTTTGGGTCACCACTATCTTGTCTCCCTGCAGCACAATGCTCCGAGGACTGACCGCAAACTTTGCTCCTGTAACAGGTCTGAAAGTGGATTAAAATCTCCAGGGCGACCATTGTCCTACAATGATGCTCAGTGGTTTAGAGTTTGTTTGGCTGTCATATGGCCAAATTATCAATCTTTTAAATGTCGACTTCTTTGATTCTATTCCAAGAACAAGAGTCAGTAGCTCATGCAACATCAGGGGAGGGAAGAAAATACCCATCATGGTACATTTCGAGTGTCCAACCCACAAAGACTCACTTTAAGTTCCTCTAAGTCTTCGACTCTGGTTTTCTAATTCCTTTCCTTGTATTCTCCTAGATTATACAAATTCACCTTCCCCAGCAAACTGTTATGAAGACCTTTATATGGGGCTGAAACAATGCTGGCTGGGAGACCATCGATTTTCCGTGATTCATTTTCAAGAAACTTTCTATTTCAAGGGTTATTTGGAACATTTTGATGTTAAGTAATAATCAGTTATTTGGCTGTGTGAACCCAGCTAAAAAACATCTAATTTAAAAAGAAAGAAGCAGTTTAGAGCAGCACGGCAGTAATTCTAGGTCACTTCCCAGAATGTCAATGGGAGAAGCCCAGGACTAGCAGGATGAAGAGACTGGAGAACATATCACACAGCCAGACACAATGATCAGCATAGAACCTGCTTTCCCAGAAAAGGCTTTTTACTTACTCGTGAACGATTTAGACCATTGGCATCTTCCAAGCCTGGTTCACAGATTTTGTTATCAGCACCCACATAGGCAATAAAAGCATCAGCATCTGATAGCACTCTGAGATTTGGGCACAGAGGAAAGAGAATATTAGTCAGTATTTTCATAGTTTCAATCCAAGTAGATGCAAAAAAATTTGGTGCCAGCTTGTACTCCACACAATGTTGGGGTTATACAAACGTCAACATCTTCTTCCATAAGAAGAGGCTATGATTATTTTGCACTAAAGAGTTTGTTTTAACAGAGAGGAGTACAAATAATTTAAATCACTTTATTCCTATTTAATATGTACTCAGTAGGATCAAAGAAGGGGAACCTTCCTTTTAAGTGGGCATTTATGCCTATCTGTGTGACTTCTATTTGGACTGACTCCCTTAGCTATTCACCCCATTCAGCTACACTGGAAAATAAAAACCAAAGAAAAGCATTACAAACCTCAGCCTATACTGTAGGCTAGTCCAGACTAGCCATGAACCACCCTGGCACTGACCATTACACCCATGTGTTATGAATTGTGCTGCCTGGAGAACAAACTCTCCCAACTTTAAGTTATTTTATACGTTAATTATTTTAATAGACTATGCTGAATGCTATCACCCCAACTTTACATTCTTATAAGCTCCTTAAAACATGATTCCAAAGACAGCTGTTACCTACATAAGCCAAAAAGCTACCTCCCTTGTCTTATGGCCTTTAGAGGATTCCCCCTTTAGTTTCCCTAGTATCCTTATAAGCTTCCAAGAGGATGTGAGATAGGATCAACTATACCTTTGCATCTCTTCAGAAAGCCAGAGGTTGGCAACTGGTGACATCAGCTCCTCCAGGAAAACTTTCTGCCGCTTGTAGTCCTTGAATTGATTGCTGATTAGGACCAAGGCTTCCATAAGGGCACACTTTTCCATTTGTGTCAGGAGCAGCTCATTGGAAAGCAGCTGCTTTACGTGGTTATAAAGCATGTCAAAGTTGGGCTGTAGATTTCAAAGGATAGAACCAAAGGTTGTAGAGGTCTGGTTTTTTTTTTTTAAATCGATTTTAATGTGCGCGCATGCGTGCGTGCGTGTGTGTATGTCTAGCCCTCCTAGACTTTCTCCTGTATTCTGCACACATATACAACAACACCTCCCCAAATCATCTGTTATAAAGAAAAAAATAGCAAAACTGATTAACACAATGTAAAAATGTGACATTGCACACAATGTTCCACGCCCATGGCACCACCTCCTTCTGACGAATGAAAAACAAAGACATCTGCTATAGAGACTGCGTCTGACAACATATACAATATTTTCTCCTAGCATCACCCCCTTCCCTTGAGAGTGAGGAGGCATGTTTCATTCATTCTCTGCTGCAGGACCTTAGCTAATTTCTTCCTTGCATGGTTGAGATCTGCTTTTTATGAAAAAAGCTCCAGGTATCCAAAGAAGGCTACAAATAGGGAGCTTAACCAGGTTCTTAATAACTGAGCTCCATGAATTATTTAAAAATCCTGAGTCCTTTAGGAAGACCAAGTCTACATAATCATCTCTGTAACAGAATTTTTCACATTTTCTAGTTCAATCAACTGTGTTACCCAGGCAAAAACTTGTACTTTTTCATGCTATATAATTGTGAAAACATAGGTAGCTGCCAATCCCATCTGGGCTAATTTTTTTACACCAATCTTGTTAAAAGACCTCATAGATTAGGGGGCAGCTAGGTGGTGCAGTAAATAGAGCTCTGGCTTTGGAGTCAGGAGAACCTGAGTTCAAATCTGGCCTCAGACCTTCGACACTCACTATCTGTGTGACCTTGGGCAAGTCATTTAATCCCCACTGCCTCACAAAAAGATAAAAAAACAAAAGACCTCATAGATCACGCTATTTGAGGCAAACGCATGTTCTATGTTCCTGGAAGATGTGTCAAGCTAATTTATAATCCTGAGGGGGTAGATAAAATATTGATGACTTTCCAAAGAGCTTTTGTTTATGTGGATTATCAATTTACTACATTAGAAATGAAAACATCTTAGTATTATTATGAGAACTGTTTTGACTTTGTAATCCCTTGAAAGGGTTTCAGAGTCCCCCAAGACCACAGTTTGAGAACCAATGATTTATCCCATCAAGGTTGTATTCTGTGCCTTGTCTCTCTCAAGGTGAGGCTGTTTCATGCTTGAACAGGCATGATAGCAATACCTAAAAAAGCCTTAAATAGAAATGCAAAGAAGGTGCAAATTTACACTGAGAACTAAAGATCATAAGGAGAGAAGTTTTTCTATAGGAAGAAAACTATATTTGTATTTTTAACTATAGCAAGACAAATTTTAGAGTTTTTCTTGAAGTGAAGTGTATTTAAGGCCATAGTTAAACAATAATGAAATTAAGCTGAAAACCAACTAGAACAACTTCTTGGCTTTGCTCCAAATCTTACCAGAACAAGTTGAGGATAGTCACGACACATTTTGATGATAGAAGAACACGCATGTCTTCTCACGTTCCTCACAGCACGAGTCCTGGGAGCCTGAAAAGAAAAATTCAATATATTAAAGGCCAAGTTTAACTGGACAACCCCTATAGATACCTAATATAATTATTTTAGGGGGAAAAACTCACAAGTATTTGACCGGAGCCAATGGTGTACTGGGATGAAGAGTGGAAAAGGTATGGAATTTGGAATTATAGGATCTGTCTTTATATCCAAGTTCTTCTACTTTCTACCTTGTATGTCTCTAAGCAAATTATTTAACCTACCTAAGCCTCAGCTGTCTAATTTATAAAACAAGGGAGTTGAACTACATAACCTCTAAGGTGTCTCTTACTTCTAAACCTGTACTTCTACTCATATTTGTGTGACTCTAAAGTTATGTTTGCAATAAATTAACCAAAAGAAACCCAAGACTACTGTGTATAATAAAGTATTATAACAGAGAAACCTGGTCTTAAAAGGCTCTAGATTACTTGTGAAAATGTTTCAAAAACTTTCTGATCTGTGGATTCCTAACTTAGACAAGGTATAATTGGGCACATAGTTCTCCATCAAAAAAGGAAATCAAAGAAGATAGGAAATAACTGTCACTCGGACAGGCCTGGTGTGCTGACTTGGAGAAGAAAAAGATGGCACATGTAACCTCAGTACTGAGAATATTCTACAATTTTTTCTTTTCTGTAATCTCAAAAAAGGACCTCTACAATTAGAGAGAAGGAAATTACAAATGTCAATGTTTCACTATTATTTCTTAGGATTTGGAAAATGAATAAAATTAATTCTCTCTTACCTTACTTTCTTCGATGATTTCAAAAGTGACCGATGAAAATAGCTAAAGGGATGAAAGAAAATGATCATTTCTCAGTTTCAGATATGTATCCCTGAAATAGAAAAGTCAATAGATTCCTAAACTGAATTTAGTATGTTCCTTCTGAAATTTGCTACCCTTTGAAATGGTACCATTATCTTCCTGGTTAGCTGTCCTTACTGTTCCCTCTTTATTTCTCCCCTTTCTAATAATGTCACCAAGTCCTGTCAATTCTATCTCTCTGACATCTTTTATATCCAAACCTTCCTTATTATTTTCATGGTCACTACTTTCATTTATGACCTCCTTACAGTGCACAGGGACTGTTAGATCACTTTCCCAAGTGATCCTTGCTCCACTGCACCCTCTAAACCAGAGGTGTCAAACTCTGGGCCAGCAAAACTCCATAGCAAGGCCTGAATCAGATTAAAATGTAATCGGGAAATGTTTAACAAAATTAAATAAAAATATAATAAAACACAGAAAATATTAATTTGTGGTTTTCTAAGTCAATATGCAAGGATCCCTCTTTCTACTTAAATTTGATATCACTGCCCTAAACCATTGCCAGTTTAATTTTCCTAATGCACAACTTTGATCACATCACTTTTGCTCAAAAATGCTCAATAGCTTCCCTTGCCTACCAAATAAAATCCAAATTCTTCAGCAAGGCATTCACTGTCCATAATTTCTACACTAGACAAACTGCTGTCTCCAAAACCTCGTGTGCCTTTGTTCATACTTTTCCCAGTGTCTACAATTATCTCCCCATCCAGTCACCCCTCTCTCTACTTCAAGGTTCAGTTCAAATTGAAGTCACCTCTTCCAATGAAGTTTTATCCAATCTCTCTAGCCAGAAGGAATCTCTCCCTTCCCAAAAGCTACCATTGTACCTTGTTTGGATCTTTTTTATGCATTTCTATTTGGTAAGGTTATTGATATATATTTTCTTTCTGTACCTAAATCCTAAACTCCTTGAGGGTGGGAACCATACCTTGCTCATTGCTGTCTTTCTACTAGGCACTGAATAAATGTTTGTTGCATAAAAAGTATAACCATTACATGAGAGGAACAAACTCAGTAACATTGTGGTAAACTTTACTCACAATGACTATCATCAGATAGTCATCTTGCAAAAAAAAAATGCAGAATAGTTTTAGATTCACAAAGTACCATTGAGACAATTTATATGACAGAAAAAAAGTTCATGCAATAACTCAAAAATCAAAGACACAAATGGATGCTTATTACATAATAATAGCATTACATGCTTGTTCCCTCCCCCAAAACCATTTATTTTCTTGTCATCTGCATTACTAATTATATATTTTCTAAACGCTTACGACCATGCCTCAAAAGCAACAAAATCAGTGATTCATTTTGCAAGTAAAGCACAAAAGGAGATAGAGTTGCTTACCTTAGAAAGGACCTGGGGCAGGTACTCTGGTCTGTAACTGACAAATGGAAAGAGTGCTGAAACATTGGTGAGGACACAGGACAAGATGAGGGGATCCTTGGTATTAAAGTTCAGTACAATCTGCAACAGCTCTATGCCATCATTCACTGGAATTTCCTGCAACATTAAAATTTCTTTGAGCACATGGTCATGTCTTCTTTTAAAGTAACTGTTGTACAGGGATAAGCCAGGGTGGGAACATGACCGTGAGTCTCACAATGAATGTAAACTACCTTAAGTAAATGTAAACAGCAAAAGAGCTCTAACTAACCCTTGGGAAAACTTGTATGTGACCCTGGTTCACCCTGGCACTGTGCCTTCTTTGTTTTGTTTCTATATAATACCTGACATGGCCTGGGGGTGGTGCAGGGATCCATGATGTTATTTCGTCCTGCTACCACCCAGAGAACAACTGACTTCTTGTGAGGAAACTCTCTTAACAATCCAATTATCTTAATTAACTGTAATAAAACCTATTAGTAACCAAGCTAGTATGAGCCCCTTTTTCTCTGGTATCTCAGTATTCTCTTGGAGGGTATGCCCCCTTACATTTGATGTAGCGGGCAGGATAATCTGCCCCCCTTACAACTGCCTAAGTTTATTCACTCCAGCCATTGAGTTAAGTTTAATTGAGACTCCCTGACATAAGTTTTTAAGATACACAAGTGAGTGTCATGTGTCTGAGACCGGATTTGAACTCAGGTCCTCCTGACTCCAGGGCTGGTGCTCTATCCACTGAGACATCTAGCTGCCCCCACTGGCAAGATCTTTGACGGGACTAAGTCACTTCCCTGCCATAAATGAGCATAGGAAGTCTTCAATCTCCAAACAGTTGGGGGAAGCTGGTAAAATGCAGACAAATCTATGAGGCACTAGGCCAATACACACTGATGAGGTTTATCTGGAAATGATTAATGATGGAATGTTAGGAAAAAGAAAAAAATATTAGACAAAATCAATGTAGCCAAGATTAGAAGGAAAGCAGAAAACTGGGGGAAAAATTTATGGTAAGTTTCTCTGACAGAGGCCTCATTTCTCAAATATGAACTGAGTCAAATTTATAAAAATATGAGTCATTCCCCAACAGATAAATGGTCAGAGATATGAACAGGAAGTTTACAGACAAAGAAATCAAAGCTATCTATAGTCATGCAAAAAAAATGCTCTAAATCACTATTGATTAGAGAAATGAAAATTAAAAGAACTCTGGGGTATCACCTATCAGATTGGCTAATATGACAGAAAAGGAAAACGACAAATGTTGGAGGGGATATGGAAAAACTGGGACACTAATACACTGTTGCTGGAGTGGTGAACTGATCCAGTCATTCTGAAGAACAGTTATGAACTATGCCCAAAGGGCTATAAAACTGCATACCTTTGATCCTGCAATACCACTACTAGATCTATATTTCAAAGAGATTTTTCAAAAAAGGAAAAGGACCTATTTGTACAGAAATATTTATAGCAGCTCTTTTTGTGGTGGCAAAGAATTGGAAATTGAGGGAATTCCCGTCAATTGGGGAATGGCTGAACAAGCTGTGGTATATGATGGTAATGGAGTATACTGTACTATAAGAAATGATGAGCAAGCCAATTTCAGAAAAACTTGGAGAGACTTACATGAAATGATGCAAAGTGAAGTGAGCACAGTCAGAACACTGCACACAGAAACAACAATAGTGTACGATGATCAACTGTGAATGACTTAGATATGCTCAGCAAGACAATGATACAAGACAACACTGAAGGACTTAGGATGAAAAATGATATCCACTTTCAGAGAAAGAATTGATAAGAGTCCGAGTGCAGACTGAAATACGCTATTCTTTATTTTTCCTGGGTTTTGTTTTGGTCTGTATTTTCTTTTTGCAACATGGCTAATATGGAAACATTTTGCATGACTGCATGTGTATAATCTCTATTAAACTTGTTTGCCTTCTCAAGGAGGGGGGAGGGGAAGTAAGGAGGGAAGCAGAAAAGTTGGAACTCAAGATTTTAAAAATGTCAAAATTTATTTTTACATGTAATTGGAAAAAGATGTAATTTTTTTTTTTAAAAGAAAATTTCAAATTCTCTAGTTCAACCTCCCCATTTTATTGATGATGAAACTAGGCCCAGGGGCAAATCACTTGTTCAAGGCCACAAAGCAAGTAAATGGCAAAGGTCTGACTAGAACATAGGTCTATTGCTCTCAATGCAATGCTCTTCCTACTATACTGTGTTTGTTGAGTTGAGGTAACACTAGATGGGTTCCAGGGCACCCATAGGGCACACCTGCCCAATTCCCAAAGCTGAACCCTTAGGAAAGTCTTTGAACTGATAGTTACACAAAAATGCCTAAAAGCTCAGATGATTTGAACACAATCTCTAGGAGCTCTACTTAGGAACTGACAGTTGTTTCCCACTGCCCAATGTATCACATTTATATTCCTCAGTCTAAACATGCAAAGATCTCCATTCTCCCACATCTGCCTGACTTCTTAACTTGCTACTAACCAAGATATTTTTTCTGCTCCTAACACACCCATTTTGTTACTGCCTTCTCTATCTGTTGCTTAATTCTGACTGTTAATGTGTTTTCATTGCCTGAAATCCCGTCCTGCTTCTCTGAAAATCTATCACCCAAGTGAAGACCTCTTTTCCAGAACATTTTTCCTGACTCACTAAATACTTTCCATAGCTCAATATATAGGTTGGATCACATGACTATATTTTTATTCCCTGTATGACTTGTACCTCCAATTAGATTGTAAGTTACTCAAAGAAAGGAATCAAGTCTCCTTTTGTATCCCTCAAAATGTCCAGTCCAGTTCTCTGAACACAGCATGTGCTATAAACTGCTATATTCAACTATATTTGCTGAATGAATGAACACTTATTGTGGAGCTTGGTCAGATCTTCAGAGCCTGCTCTGGAATTGAGTTAGCCTTCAGTGTCAGAGGTTTGTTGTTCTGTTTATCCCACTATTTGTATACCTGAATCTGGCTAAGTTCAGAAATAGAGGATTTTGGACTAAGAGTGCTACATTATGGACAGATTAAATAACCAACCCTCTTTTCCCACAGAGGCCTTATGATAATTCTAAAATCACACAACCAATGGGGACAAGGTACTTACTTCTTTATCTAAAGTTCGAAACATCTGGTTAATCACACTTTCTGAAAAGAAGGTCATGGCATCCCATTGTACAAAAGAGGGAGAGAAGATTGAACATAGGCCTTCTCCAGTCCTAGCTGTATAAACAGAATAAGGCAATGAAATATCTAATAAATAAAATTAGGGGGCTATGATATCATCTAATCCAAATCCATTTTACAGATAAGGAAACTCAGTATAACAGATCTCCTTTCTTCCAGCAGTGTCTGGTATATAGTTGGTATATAATACTTGTTTACTGAATGCCTATATGTTATACAAGCAGCTGATTAATCCAACATCTGGGACCTAATATAATTCCAAGGTTTTTCCAATAGTGAGGGATTTGTATGAATTCATCCTCATACTTTTGCCCCATTCTCACTTATTTTTTTTTTTTCAAAGCTTATTAACAGTCTCTGGATTTCACTCCTTTAATATTCAAATGTTATCTGAAGGGTTACAAAAGCTTAGTAGGAATTCTGGTTATAACAGTGACCAATCAATGTAAAATAACAAATTACTTACTGATTCAACAACTAAAGGAAAATTGGGAAGAGCATTTTAATACCAACCTTCCAGTTCAAATAAATTTAATATTCAGTGGTGACTCATTTGCTTTATGAAACGGAAGGTTTAGGTATATTGGCAGAACTGTCCTTTCAAGTGAGAATATGCATAAAGCAATTTGCAACTTTAGTCAACCAACCAATCAAAAAACATTTACCAAAGCAAATTGTCAGCTATCTTTATTACCATTAAAAACTTTTAGGATATAAGTTGTGGGTATTAGGATTTTTCTGCTTTTAGTTCTATTAATCTTTTTTTCTCTTCCAACTGGATTCAAGTATCAGCGTGGAAACATCAGCCAACATGATGTGCAAATGGAAAGGAATAACCTTCAGAGCAGTACCAAGGTACAGGAAATAGTATTTCTGACAAAGTATTTTGATATTCTCTAAAAACTGTACTTAAGAGCTTGATAGGAAACATTAGAGGTACCCTAGAAGGAACAGTTCTAGCCTAAAATTTTCCCTGTCACCCTGTCGCTAATATTTAGCAATTTTAAAAAACCTTTATTGTTTAAAATCAAACTTACAGTTCATTGGCCCAGTATCCACAGGTGTTGAAAGCTGGTACTTTAACCACTCCCCAGCCATCTGAAAACCAGTTTTGGGATCCAGGCGACAGGCCATTCTTATCACCTCTCCCTGCTGAGCTCGGAATGCTGCCAATGAATGGGAAAGAAATCAGATTTGGATCCCAGGAAAGGCTAAGTTTTGTGTTCTACATATAAGACTATTTGCTAAATGAATTAATGAATCCAAAAACACCAGCAGATGGGTTCTCTAAGTAGCAGCCTAATATCAGTTCCCTACTTTTATTGGTATGAGAAAGGCAGCAGGCTACAGTAGACCTAGGACTGGGATATGGTAAAAATAATGGGCTTTCCTCTGCTCTGGAAGAAGGAACTAGACATTGAATAGTATCACAAATATCATGTTTTAGCAATATAGAGTTTAAATACAGGAGAGTAAAGAAAATTAGATAGGACATATTGGAAGAGAGCACTCTGAGCACACTTTAGTAGTGTGAAATCTAGGGCTCCAGAAAGCTGTGTTGAGAATTTAGAGATCTTCCTGATAAAGAGCCCCAAGGTCTTAAAGTGTGACATAACATAACAAATATTATCCCAAGGCTCATAAAAGGAAGATATTCCAAAATCACTTACAGTTGAAGAAGGCATTGAAGTCCTCGTCACTGTCAAAGTCAAATTGAGAATATTCACAGCTAGCGCTATCTGTTTTAGAGGGAAAGCCAATCTGAAAGAGATACCAACCCAGGGGTAGGGGATGAAAATAGACATTGTAAATTTTGGTTCAGCCCTCTGGGTCATAGAAAAATGTTAGGGGAGAAGCCTGAAAAATGCTAGCTCTTAAATTAGGGAAATGTAATTCAACGTTAACATTGTGAACGAGGGGAGGCATATTGTCTTCAATAACTACCAAGTCTGCTATATCCCAAGTCTATAGTTCATTTCCAGATCTAAGGTCTGAAATATCAACATTCTTTTCCTAGTTCCTTAGGGAGAATTCTAACCAATGATTTGTTTAGTGCCTTTGACTATAAAGCTTGGGGATTAAGGAATAATTTGAATCAAACAAAGAGGGGCCTAGGAACACATTCCATTATCAAGTAACCAAGCCACTTAAGGAACAAACACAGGAATTTGTGTTTCCCTAAAGACTTGTTGAAGGTTCCTGGAAAGACCTTAAATCTGACAAGTACAGCTTGATGGAACTGGTTAGGGAATTCTCTCCAGCAGATTTCTGTAGCTTGGACCTTTGAATGGAAAAGCCCTTTCCCTGGTTAAGGCCAAGAACAATCAATTGCTAAGTATTACGAACTAATAATCCCAAGGGGACATGTTGAATGTTTGTCTATTGAAGTAGAGTAAGCAATCTTTGCTAGAGAATCTATAGTGATACTAAACAGATTGGCAGAAGGAGCTCTCTATGAGGAACTAGGAAGATGTTATTATCTAAGGAAGTTATTTTGGTTCTTAATTGGTACCAGTGAAAAATCTTATATCTTTATAGCTCTTTGTCTACAATCAACACGTTCAACTATTATTACATACCTTCACCAAGTTAGTCATAGAGGCACGGAGATATTTGGGAATCATTCCTAAAAGCAGAGGGTCCCGGGATAAGATTTCATGCCGGAAAAGGGCTCCCCAAGTGATTTGAGTTGATGATCGCAGAAACTGAAGAAAAAATTTAAAAGACCTATATGTTTAAAAGGACCTGGAATCTATAAGGGGTTTAACTTTTACCCTTACACATATTAAAAAAGGTTGCAATAAAGAGACTCATTTTTAGCTCCTAACAAAGGCTTCATAACAAGGGAGCTACAATGGCCATTTATCTGATCCTTGAGAGCAGAATAATATTTACAGTGATAACAGCTGATATTCATATGGACCTTTAAAATTTGCCAAATGCTTTGTTTCATTTGAGCCACAAACAACCCTGAAGACTTTACAGTTATCATTACTGTCATTCTACAGTTTAGAAAACTGAAAGAGTGACCCATCTGCGGTCCCACAAGATGTATTTATTAGTAGGGTTTGAACCGAAGTCTTCCTGAGTCTATGTCCAACACACAGCACGCCTCACTCAGTATTTCATGTAATAGGAAGTGACCTTATTGTAAATATGAAGGTATAGCTGCTAAAATTACAAAATATAGTTGACAATGTTTTGCCTTGAACTAAGGCCAAAATATAGTTTATGTTAAGAACTAAAGCTCTATTTCCTAAAGTATTTTCTGCCTTCATATTACTTACCTGGCTTGGATGAGTTGTAAAAGCCAGAAAAGACTCCAAGTACTTTCCAAGGTTGGCTGGTGTTTCAACATCACAATCAGTGCCCTGTTGCAAAAATATTATTTTAAAGGCTACTGACAGCAGAAAATTCACAACAAATGCAGTTTCTGAAAATAGAGTTAAAGAGCCAGGGAAAGGCAACATTACCTAGGCAAACCGCTTCATTAAGAAAAAATTCTACAGTCAAATATTATAACTGGGAATGATCATTTCCAGTATGATAAGAATGTTTCATTAAAATTTTTTTTAAAAAAAATCTACTAAAAGCCAGAAGAATACTGAAAACTCTTAATACAGGTGAAGCCTTAATTTTCCAAGCTTGGCTCATTCTCACCAGTAAGTCTCAGCATTTAACCATATTACTCAACAATTCATTCATTATACTTGTTTCTGATCATCTATCTCAACCTCTTCTGAGTCAGAACAAAAATGCATCATTAAGAACAAATTAATAAAACCATTCTAGAGTCTTGGAGTTCAACGTGGAAGTCTAAAAGCAACCATCAAGTTCTCATTTCCCATAAAATGAGCTTTTTATACACTTGTTCAGCCAACAGCTTCCATTTTCAAGTTAACAGGCAATAATACCACTTAACCTAAAGAATACTCTCTTCATATATTAGGCTTTTGTGTTAAAGTGAGGCCACAAACAAGAAGAGATATACTATAGTGATTAGTGCTTTAGAAAAAGTATTTTCCTTTGTATTTTACAATCCTGAATAGCAAAAATCTAACCTAAGAATACACCCTAGTATTTAACTAAACAAATAGGGGGTAGGGGAAGTTTTAAGTCATTATATAAACATTTACATCATTTAAGAATAACATATAATGTGTACATAATACCCAGTATTACAAGAGTAGACAAATAGCTATAAATGAAATTACTTTAATTTCATTTAGTAAAACATAATTACATAATATTATTATATTATTAGTATAATTACATAATAACATTACAATTGTATAACATAATAATATAATTGTGTACAGTATCTGTTCATTAGCAACATACTACTTAAAAGAAATCCTAAACTCAAATCCCATTCCAGTCAAAGAAATTAAAGTAGTCTGTAGGACAATCTTCCCATACCAAGTTCAGATTAATGGCTAGTACCACATATAAATCAAGGGAGATAACTTCTAAGGTCCCGTCCCTGATGGCATCACTGAATGCTCAAAGTGTAGCAAGTACTTCAGACTTCAATGGTTCTTGCAGACTGCTTACCAGTAAAGCACATAGTTGGCTGCCTAAAGCACACAAGACCTGACAAAGTCTCTTCAAGAAAACATAGTGTTTTTCTACCAGGCCTCCACCATCAGCAGTCCTAAGAGAGAACAGATGAAAGAGTGTCTGAGTTTGGAAAGACTCAGTAGTTAGGAGAAAAGATTCTTCATTAAACAAACATAAATGGGAATGGCCATTTCTTCTGTCTCCTTATACGAATTATATTCTAAATAAGATAAAAAGTTGAAGGAAAAAGAAATAAGCAACTTTGCTAAATATAACCACACTTCTCAAAAAACAAGTCCATCTATTATGTTCTCTAGCTTTAACAGTCATAAAATTCTGGCTCTTTTTTCATCCAAAACTGATAGTTTGGGGGCATGAATCTATAAACAATACAGTTACACTTAAAAATACTGGATGATAACTAGAGAGGACTCAGAGACATCCTTGGGAGAGAGAAGTGGTAAAAACTGAAAATTACAAAGTGCAAGGGACCATGGTTGAAATCAGACTCTCTGTCTCTGTACAATATTTTATATTACTGAAGGATGCCAAAGGGATAATATCTAACTGAAGCTGAAGTTCTTTTTTAGCCACGTATGACTTAACAGTGGCAACATGAATTGTCAATACCTCAAGTCCCTACCTTTTGACAGGGAGGAAATCTAGGCATTCTGACATAATGTGACCCCAGATTTTTCTGACTGAAGTTAACAATGAAAGGTCCAGAACAGGCAAGGTTATATTGCTCCTGTCTTCTGCTCTCATCAGAAGACAGCTGAATAATTTTGGTCAGTGCTGCATTTCAGAAAGGATATTGGTAATCCAAAGAAGGTTCAGAGAAAGAATAACAAGATGAGGGCACTGGAGACCATGCCATCTGAGGGAACTAGAGATGTTTCTTCTGGAGAGAAGACCTATTTAAAGGGGCATGAGCTCTTTATTCTACTATCAAAGGACCATCCTCTGGAAGAACAATCAAAATTTGTTCTTCGCAGACCTAGAGGGTAGAACTAGAAACAATGGATGGAAACTGGAGAAAGGCAGATTTCAGTTCAATATACTCAGATTCTGAGGCATTAATACTGGTGAGTTGTGGAAAAGATGACAAATTCCTCGTTCTGAACATTTACTTTTTTGCTTAGCACCAAGTACTTAATTTGTACTATCTTATATAGAGGGCTCTGAGGTTCCTTCTGATTCTTTGATTCTTTCCATGTCCTTATCTGAAGGAGTTAGGTGGTACTGAATAGAGCACTGGGCCTGGAATGAGGGAAGAGATCAAATTCCTACTCAGATACTTAATAGCTGGGTAATCCTTGGCAAGTCATGTAAACTGTTTGCCTCAGTTTCCTCAACTGTAATATGGGGATAATAGTACCTACCTACCAGGGCTGTTGTAAAGATCAAATGAGTTAACACTTTTAAAGTGCTTGGCACAGTGCCTGATACACAGTAGGTGCTATATAAATGCTATTATTATTACTGTACATAATAATGCACAATAAACATTCTTCAGTTTTTAAAATGTTTTTAATCTTTAAACTTCCCAACTAAACTGAGCTTTTCAAGGACATATCACGCAGTCTCAGTGTCTTCTATTTCTTTTGCACCCCAACAGATACCCAGTATAAGGTTTTGAACCTAATAGGCACTTAATATGATTGACCAACTAAAGTGAAATCCATACTCATTATATCCCATATAGATCACTGGACAATTGCTGGTCACCACTGGCCTAAAACGGATTAGAAGTAATGACAAACAGGGACTTATTAAAGCTGACTTTTTATTATTAACTACTAAGATGCAGAAGTTTTCTACTAAGCAACTTTGAAATATCACTCATGGAAAATGTTAGGTAAAATCCAGTTAAGTATATTCATTATTTAAAAAAAAAGTTATCCCACCTCACAGCACTCAGAAGCAGGCCAAGAAATTAAAACTGGAAATCTATGACACTACGTAGATCTCAAAGACCTTTTTAACTCTCCATGAATTTCATAAAACTAGGAAAGAATGGTAGGAAGCAAAATAGTCCTGGAGAGTCACAATTTGAGATGAGACTATGACTGCTCTGCAGACCACAGAAGCTAAAAATCAGGCAGAACACTGATAAATAAATAATTTATTTTTTAAATGTGTCAAAATGATGATAAATGTGTCAAAAAAAAAAAAAAAAAGCCTAGTTAACATGATCTCTCTCTTCAGTCACTACTATTCTGCATGAGGAAAAAACTATTAAAAATAAAATGTTTAACTAGAGAGGATCTACCATAAGCCCTAAAGGCATTTATACATTTTCTAGATACACATGCTTTTTTACTTTAGGAATCCCTATGAAATGGGGCCCTCGAATTCAGGAGAGAATCAGGGTCAAAGAAAGGGGGCTACAATCAGCAATTTAATATATCTGTAAGATACCCTCCATCCCCTAGCTGGTTCCCTGGCACAAATCTAACCTAAGAATACACCCTAGTATTTACCTAAACAAATAGGGGGTAGGGGAAGTTTTAAGTCATTATACAAACATTTACATCATTTAGGAATAACATATAATATGTACATAAAACCCAGTATTACAAGAGCAGAAAAAGTTACTGAAGACAATCCTTTGACTGTTAGCATGTGATGGGTCTGTAAAACAGAATCATGAACACACGTGGTTCCACTCTTTGAAGCAATCACCAAGGCCACCAAGAGGTCAATGGATTATGAGGGAATGGAGAAAGCAAAATACAAGAGCCCTGAAAAGACAGACAGTCTGGAAAGAAATACATACACCAAAGGGTACTATACTGTAAAGAAAACTAAAGGTATTGGAAACCTATTTCTAGCACTGAATTTTCCAAGAATATTGAGCACTGCTCTTGAGAATTGCTTTGTTTTCTTACCCAAAATACTGTCCATAGTATATGAGCTGACAGCATTTGGGTGGGAAGAATTCAGATATGCAGTATCCCAATAAGGAGAGACCAATAGCAACGGACTTAGAAAACATTCTGTTCGTTAACAAGAAGATACTTACTGAGCAGCAGAGAGTATATAATGCATGGCAACATCTCCAAACAAGACCATTAAAGGCTTCCGGTCTTCCAACCTACCCTAGACAAAATCAAGGGAAACTTAGGTCAAAATAAAGTTGTAGGTCAAAATATACCACTTACTCCTCTTATCAAGATCCTCAAAATCTTGGTACCTACTACTTTCAGTGCACATTAATTGCACAAAAACATACTGTTACATTGGCTTCTCAGATGCAACAGGATTAATTAAGTACTGAGTTGATGGTAAAATTTGGTTTAAAAATTTAACATCTGTATTCTTCTATAGCTAAGCAGGAGAGCTAAAAGATCATTACAACTGGCTTTTAAGATGAAGTTAAGGTCCACATGATAGTATATACTCAATACCTAACAAATTTAGCACTGCTCAACAGTGAAATTTCAAGATTCAGAACTGCTGTAATAAATGAAAAAATAAGTAGAGTGTGGTCTGGAAAGTTCATTTACCTTCTGACAACTGACCTCCATAAGGACACAGAAATACACAAGAAACATCATCTAAGGATGCAGTAGGAGAAAGGTTTAGTTAACCTCAAATAGAAAAAAAGTCAAACTCTTTAAGTCTGCCTGGAGAACTATGTAATAAAACACAGGTCTGGTCTCCTCTAGCCCAAAAACATCTTCTCTTAGATTTATGTTCCTCTAACTATCATCTCCCCTCATCTGTTGCCAAATATCTAGGGAAAAGTCTACATTTACTGTAGCCACTTTTACCTAAATTTCAGCCCTCAAAAGCTGCCTTTCCTAACTACCCCCTCCCCAACCAATTGAGAACACAAGGAAAAAAAAAACAACCCAAAACATGATAAACATGTACAAAGAAAATGAAATTTCCACATTGTCTACATCCAAAAAACCTGTTCATTCTGCTTTCTGAATCCTTCTTTTCTAGCATGTGTCTTCATTAATTGTGGTCATTACATAGATGAGTTCAGCTCAGTGGTACTTACACGCCATAATGTGTTCGTTCTACAACTGACAGGAATCTCCTCAGATTCCCATTCTTTGCCACATTAAAAAGAGCAAGAAATATTTTTATGTATTTTTAGACTTCCTCTTGCTTAGGACTAATCCCTTCCTTAATCTATCCTCACCATCTCCCCCTCTCGCCTTATTTCCCAATTAGGTGAAATATATTTCTGTATCTAACTCTCTGTGTATGTGTATTGCTCCTTTGACCAGTTTAGATGAGAGGAAGGTTCAAATGTCAACTGCTCCCTCCCACCCTCCTTCCTTCTTGTTTTACAGATGTCTACATGTACATCTTGATTACATGAGATAAGTTTCCTAACCTTTTTCCTTCCTCTCTACCAGAGTGTATTTCTCTTCTTCTCTATTATTTTTTTAAAGAGACCATCAAGATGTAATAGAACCACTCCTGGACCTTGTCTACTTGGAGCCTCTCTGTGAACCCTGTTAATGACAGGGTTCAGATACATGCATCATCTCTCCGTATCTGAATATGAGCAATTTATTCTTGTTTAATCCCTTATCATTAATAATTCATGCTTACTTTTTAAGGTTTCTCATCACTTCTTGTGTTTGGACTTCAAAGTTTCTATACAGCGTCATTCTTCTCATCACAAATGTTTGGAAATCTTCTATTTTATCAAAGGTCCATTTCCTCCCTGAAGCATTATACTCAGTTTTGCCAGGTAAGTTATGCTTGGCTGTGAGTCCTTACGTCTTTCAACTTCTGTAATACTGTATTCCAGGTTCTCCACTGCTTTATAGTGGTAGCTGCTAAATCACATGGGATCCTGAATGTGGCTCCTCAGTACTTGAATTCTTTCTTTCTAGCTGCATACAATATTTTTTCTTTGACCTGAAAACTTGGGATTTTGGCTAAGATGTTCCTGGGAATATTTCGGGTTCTTTTTTAGGAGGTGACTGGGAGATTCTATTTCTACTTTGCCCTCCAACGTAAGAGATCTGGGCAGTTTTCTTTTTTTAGTGAGGTAATCAGGGTTAAGTGACTTGCCCAAGGTCACACAGCTAGTACGCGTCAAGTGTTTGGTCTGAGGCCGGATTTGAACCCAGGTCCTCCTGACTTCAGGGCCGGTGCTCTATCCACTGCGCCACCTAGCAGCCCCGCAGTTTTCTTTTAATATTTGTTGAAATAGGATGTCTAGATTCTTTTTTTGGTCATGGGGCTTTACTACTCCAATGGTTAAATTTTTTCTCCTCAATCTGCTTTCCAAGTCAGTTATTTCTATTACGAATATTTACATTTTCCTTCTTCCTTTTTTTCCTAGCTTGACTTTTGCTTGTAGATGTTTTGGAATGGCTCTCTTCTGGGTTTGTATCAAGCTCCTCTGCCACCATAACAGTTTTTCTATGGCAGGGTTCTTTTTTAGTTTGGCCATTTCTTTCAGCCTGCTTTCGATATCAGGGCTGGGCTCATCTGGGCCAGTCCTGTTGTTGCTTTGCTGAGAGTACTGAGTGTTGCATTACTTCCAGATCTCAGGGCCAGACCGGGGACCCTGGAGCTTTCATTGTTCCCAGAGTGATCTGATGTAGGGCAAAGTCTGATTTGTTGCCTCCCTGGTTTGAACTCTGCAAGGTATTGACCTGGGTTTAGGTCTGAATAAAAGTAGACACTGCTGGACTCAGCCCACCATCTGGCTGCAAAGCTCTGCTGCCTCAGTGTCAAAATCTTAAGTTCCTTGTTGGTCTGGGATTCCTGCCCTGGTTACTGCTCTGCAGGCTGGGCTAAATGCTGGAAATGAGAAAACGCTTTGCCCCTGGGGTCCAAGCCACTCTGCTGCTGTTGGCTTTTTAAACTTCTGGGGCCTCCCTACCTGGTAACACCAACCTTGTGCAGAGATTCCCTTCTAAGGTTGCCCTGGGTCTATGACCCAGAACTGAATAGTGAGTGACAAAGCTGCCGGTTCAGATCTGTCTTTTCTTTTTTTATTTAAAACATTTTATTTTTTTCCTGATTACAAGTAAAGATGGCTTTAAACAACCGTTTAAAAAAAAATTCTGAGTTCCAAATTTTCTCCCCTTCTCTCCTCACCTCCCCACTCCCTGAGATGGCAAGCAATTTGATATATATTATACACATGCAGTCATGCAAAACATATTTCCATATTAGCCATGTTGCAAAACAAAACAGACCAAAAAAAAACCCCCAAGAAAAATATAAAACAGTATGTTTTGATTTGTACTCAGACTCCATCTGTTCTTTCTCTGAAGGTGGAAAGCATTTTTCATCTTAAGTCCTTCGGTATTGTCTTGGATCACTGTATTGTTGAGAATACCTAAATCATTCACAGTTGATCATTGTACACTAGTGACATTTCTGTGTACAATATGCTCCTGGTTCTGCTCACTTTACTCAGCATCAGTTCATGTAAGTCTTCCCAGGTTTTTCTGAAATTTACCTGTTTATTTCTTACAGCACAACAGTATCCCATTACAGTCATGTACCACAACTCGTCCAGCCATTCCTCAGTTGATGGGCATCCCCTCAATTTCCAATTCTTTACCACCACAAAAAGAGCTGCTACAAATAGGTCCTTTTCCCTTTGATCTCTTTGGGATACAGACCTAATAGTGGTATTGTTGGGTCAAAGGTTGCTGGATCAGTTTTACAGTCCTTTGGGCATAATTCCAAATTGCTCTTCAGAATGGTTTAATCGGCTTCCAACTCCACAAACAGTGCATTAGTGTCCCAATTTTTCCGCATGCCCTCCAACATGTCATGTTCTTTTTGTCATATTAGCCAATCTGATAGGTATGAAGTGATATCTCAGAGTTGTTTTAATCTGCATCTCTCTAATTAAAAGTGGTTTAGACCATTTTTTCATGACTGTAGATAGCTCTGATACTAACTGTTCATATCCTTTGACTAGCAATTGGGGAATGACTCACATTTTTATAAATTTCACTCAATTCTCAATATATTTGAGAAATGAGGCCTTTATCAGAGAAATCTGCTGCAAAAATTGCTTCCCAGCTTTCTGCTTTCCTTCTAATCTTGGCTGCAGTGGTTTTGTTTGTGCAAAACCTTTTAAATTTAATAAAATCAAAATTATCCATTTTATATTCAGTAATGCTCTCTTACTCTTACCTGGTCATAAATTCTTCCCTTCTCCATAAATCTGACAGGTAAACTATTCCTTCCTCTCCTAATCTGCTTGTGGTATCACCTTTTATGTCTAAATCATGTACCCATTTTGACCTTATCTTGGCAAGTGGTGTAAGATGTTGGTCTATACCTAGTTTCTGCCATACTGTTTTCCACTCTTCCCAGTAGTCTCTGTCAAATAGTGAGTTCTTGTCCTAAAAGCTGGGGTCTTTGGGTTTATCCAACACTAGTACTATGGTCACTTACCACTGTGTCTTGTGTACCTAATCTATTCCTCTGATGCACCACTCTATTTCTTAGCCAGTATCAGATAGTTTTGAGATGACTGCCACTTTATATAATACAGTTTGAGATCTGGTACATCTAGGCCACCTTTCTTCACTTTTTTTTTTCATGAATTCTCTTGATATTCTTGACCTTTTGTTCTTTCAGATGAATTTTGTCAATATTTTTTCTAGCTCTATAATTTTTTGGTAGTCTAATTGGCATGGCACTGAATAAATAAATTAATTTGGGTAGAATCATCATTTTTATTATATTGGTTCAGCCTATCCATGGGCAATTGATATTTTACCAACTGTTTAGATCTGACCTGATTTTTGTGAAAAATGTTTTGTGATTGTGGTTATATAGTCCTTGGGTTTATCTTGGCAGGCAGACTTCCAAGTACTGTATATTGTCTACAGTTATTTTAAATAGTATTTTCTATCTTTTGCTGCTGGACTTTGTCAGTAATAAAAATGCTGATGATTTATGTGGGTTTATTTTATATCCTGCAATTTGCTAAAGTTGCAAATTATTTCAACTAGTTTTTCAGTTGGTCCTCTAAGCGTACCATCATATCATCTGCAAAGGGTGATAGTTTTGTTTCTTCATTACCTATTCTAATTCCTTCAACTTCTTTTTCTTTTCTTTATGTTACAGCTGGCATTGGGTAGTGGTGATAA